GGGATGAATTGTGTCGTGCAAGTGAAATGCCAGCTATGGAGAGACTGAGGTATAGTAAAATATTGATGGGAATTGGCCTGAATTGGTTTTGACCAACATGTGTAACATGCTGAAAGAAATGTTTGCTATACATTTTCCAAATCAGTGCCAGAATGGCAACAGGGTAAAACCAGCCCCTTTTTTCACCATTATGTTTTCTTCACCTATTTCAGTCAGATCATTAATTATAATATTATTTGATTAAATTATTTTTATAAACTGTTTGAGGCATTACCTAAAGAAACTTTTATTTTAGAATATCTCCGTGGTAGATAAACTGTTTTAAGGGATCAGTGAATGCCAGAGCAGAATTCCATGCAGTTCTGGGGAAGGAGTTTCTCTGGTAAAATCTGATCTCCTGGAATAAGTAGAACTTCACCCTGGGTTTAAATAGAAGTGAACACTAAATTCTGGAGCCAGCATGGTTGTACAAGTCTTGCATATAAATAGCTGAGTGCAAATATTTGGCACATTTGGATCTGAGTGCAGAAACACTGCTCTGACAGAAGAAATTGTTTGATATTTCAGCCCATTTGGAGTTTTTGTAACAATATATGCAGTGATCCAGCCTTTAAATAGTCTGAGAGTTATCCATTGCAGAGGAGTACTCTGCATGTTGTGTGATGGAAAATACACATTTCCCTAGTTGAATTTCCTGGGAATTTTCTTCACTTAAAGTGTGGTGTTTTCCTGAAATACTGGAGGCAAATAATTCACCCAGACCTATGAATGTCCAAGCAGTGCTGGCCAGAGGAAGGGGCAGAACTTACTGTCAACTTGGAATCTCTCAGGTGGAGTCTATTGGCAGCAGCATGGGGGGATTGGTGGGAAGAGATTTTTCTCCATTCACCATGGAGCAGCTCAACTGTGGGATTGTTTTTTTATGTAGATGTGAAATGGCTTATATGACAATATAATGGGATTGGCCTTTGATAAACATTAAAAAAAAAAAGAATCCAGGTATTTACAGTAACTGTGGGGGATTTTCTCTCTAGGAGTCACATCTCTGAAAATATAGGTGAATGGCAAAAAATTTATGACAGCAAAGAGCCTCAAAATTGTCCATTACCAGAAGAATTGGATAATACATTAACTGAATTACAAAAGATTATAGTTCTTCGGTGCTTAAGACCAGACAAGGTAAAATGATCTGTTTTGGAGTGTTTGCAGACTGTTCCATGCTTTGTAGCAGAGTTTGCAGTTGCTGTTGCAATAAAGAATCTGATTTTCATCATATTTTACTAAGCAAATCAATGCAGTTTTCATGTTTCAAGTGAGCAATACAAACACCACAAATATCACCTGAGAACTTTTGTCTGACGTTATTTAATCTATGTTTGTGTTAATGGTTTGCATTTGTGTTTTTTTTTTTACTAGATTAGTCCAGCTATAACAACGTTTGTTACAGATAAACTGGGGAAGAAATTTGTTGAGCCACCGCCTTTTGATCTATCAAAAAGTTACTTAGATTCAAATTCTACAATCCCCTTAATATTTGTGCTGTCTCCAGGAGCAGATCCCATGTCTAGTAAGTATACACAGAAAGGGAAAACAGCAGTGTAGAACAGCTTTTCAGGTTAGGGACCTGAAATTCCCCTTCCATACACCAGGAAGATTATTTTGCACTTCCTGCAAGTAGATTTGAATGCATCATTTCACACTGGTGAAATTCTGTCCTCCCTAAACATGAGTATTTTTTATGTACGTGTAAACAAAACATTAATAGAAGTTTTAAATATATTATTTTCTGCCATTACTTCTTTTTCATGAAGAAATGCTAAAATTTTGTGCTTCCTTGTTCAAGGCCTCCTGAAATTGGCAACTGACAGGGAGATGGTGGGGGAAAAGTTCCAGTCCATCTCCTTAGGACAAGGACAAGGACCTATAGCTACGAGAATGATTGAAGCAGCAATGGAAGAAGGAACATGGGTTTGTTTACAGAATTGTCATTTAGCTGTCTCCTGGATGCCAACACTGGAGAAAATATGTGAGGAGCTGAACAGTGAAAAGTGTCACCCAGACTTCAGGCTTTGGCTTACAAGTTACCCTTCACCAAAGGTGTGTGCATTGCCCAGATTCTGTACTTGGGGAAAGGAAAAGCTGATGGCATTTTGAGGGAATATTTATATGTCTGAATGAGCTGATAATGCAGAAATTCTCTGAAATAGAAGGAGGTTTTGAAGAAATAATTTAATCAATTAAAAAAAATTTAAAAATAATTATAAACATAATACTCTCAAATTTCCTTTGTGATATTTTGGTACTGTAATGTGTGATATTTTGTGTATTTTTGCTATCACCAAGTTTTTGTTTCACATAAATTCAAAAATTTATTCTTACATTTTATTTGTGATGTAATGAATACCTCAAAAACATTTTAAACTATAGGTTTAAACTATAGCTCTTTCTTGATGCATTGGAGACTATTTTGTAAGCTATTGTTCTTTAAAATGTCATTTCTTGCAGATAATTGCTTATGTAACAAACACAGAGTAATAATATATTGTTAATTTAGCATCTCTTCCACACTCTCTGAGTGCAGTTTTGCTGGGTTTTACCTCTAGTTCCCAGTAACCATCCTGCAGAATGGAGTGAAGATGACAAATGAACCTCCCACTGGTCTCCGGTTAAACCTTCTTCAGTCTTTTCTCTCTGATCCTATTTCTGATCCCGTGTTCTTCTCTGGATGCCCTGGAAAGGAGCTGGTAATGTGCCCATCTCTTGAGAAGTTTTTGGATTTGGGTTGGTTTGTTGTTTGTTTTTTTTTTTAATCCACAGATAAATTGATTTCTGTCCAGTGTATATCATAACCTAAATTTTTTACTGTGGTTGTGAGTTTAGGTTTTGCAATTATAAAGATGACTAGTTGAGAATTCTTTCTGCCAGGTAATTTCACGTGGCAATATTTCAAATGGTTTCTTAGACTTTATTAAATCACTTCCATGTTACACACACATAGTGCACAATGGACATGAGCTCTGAAGGGTGATGTTTCTATCATTATTGAGATGGGAAGCACTCAGGACATCTTTTCTTGCTCCCAGGGACCAAGTTCTACACTGCCCATATGTCTTGTGAGGAACCTCTGAGCTAATCATGACCTTGAAGGAAGTGAAAAACAATCAGGGATGTGGGTTATCTGTGTACATGGGTGTGACTGCACCTAAGGATTTGCATTAAAAAATACATCTCTATTTTGCCTTTGTCTAATGAACCTTACAAATAAATATCTGGTACTATTTTGTCCCTTTTCATGGGAGAATGTAAGAGCACTTGAGGAAGTGTCTCAGTGTGCTTGCCTGTGTGGCAGCTGTGTGTGCTCGTGTTCCCAGGGCACAGAACCACACAGCACTCAGTGGTGCCCTGTGCTGGTACCAGACACAGAGTGGATCTCACGTGGTGTTCTGTGCAGGTTACTCACCAGCAGGAGCTACAGACTAGTCAATAATCACTAGTCAATAATGCTTTGTTCTTCTGCTTTTCTCAAAGGTATGGGAGAAACTGCTCTTTGGAGTTTGTTTTTTCCATGCTCTTGTTCAGGAGAGGAGAAAGTTTGGGCCCCTCGGTTGGAATATTCCCTATGGATTTAATGAATCAGACTTGAGGATCAGCATCAGACAGCTCCAGGTAAAATCAGGGATTGCTCACTGGAACTCTGGCCTTGGAAGCCCAGCTGGTAGTCAAAAGGAGCAAATACAACAGAAGTTACATCAAATGTTCATAGATATTAATGACTTAAGCTGTAAAGGCAAGGAATGTCAGTCATGTTATAAATATATTCAAAATTACACATGAAATAAGGGATTTGTTCTTCATGAGTTTTGGATTCCTATAGACCTATGGAATGAGTGTATATGAATATTATCAAAGTTAAACTGTCACAGATAAGAGCTCACTGTGCTTTAAGTAGTACCATGTTACCTGTTTTGGTGCTTTGTAGGAGGAAATTTTTTTTTTTTTGCTAGTTAACAGAACCTTAGACTATTATCCTTCCCCCAGATGAAGTGGTGAACACTTCTTGACCTTGAATCTTCTGTAGTCACTGTGTAGAAAAGTCAGGAGAGTTAAAACTGAATTACAGAAGTTAAGGCTGAACAGCTAGAAAAGCCACCAAGAAGTTAATGAAAGAAATCAGAGGGTACTGAAGACTGGAAGAAAAATTAAGTGTGTTTATGACACAGAAAAGGGTCCATCTGGAAAGTTTAGACTGGCAAAACCATCCACTTGTAAATAATTCAAGAATGACTTGCAAGTGTCTAGAATGCCCCATGTGCTGTGTTTCAGCTGTTCATCAATGAATACAGCCATGTCCCCTTTGAGGCTGTGTCCTACCTGACTGGGGAGTGTAACTATGGAGGCCGAGTGACAGATGACTGGGACCGGCGATTGCTGCTGACAATGCTGGATGATTTCTACAATCCCGACATCATTGAGAACCCCCGGTACACCTTTTCTCCCAGTGGCAACTACTATGCTCCACCAAAAGGCACATATGAGGAATACATTGAGTTTATTAAGGTAAAAAGGAGCAACAAGCTTTTGAACTGTTACAGTGATGAAGCACAAAGAAGGAAATACTTAAAGGCTTCTCTACCTTAGAAAGGCGGTTTTGCAGAACATTAAATTGTGTGCTTGGCTTCTTGCCTAACACCCCTGTATGATCCTTGCCATGATCTGGAATGTTTCTGAGAGGGAATCAGTAACTAGGTAGGAAGACCTATAGCACAGATAATTGAGAATTCCTTGGAAATGTCTCTCTATATGAGAGGTGATGGGTCATCACCAGTGACTGTCTGCAAATACCTGCCCCTAAGGTCCTTATTCACCTGCAGTTAAGTAAGTGGTAGTTTTTCACTTGACTTCTAAAGAAAAACCTTGGATCTGATTCCCAGTGTGCTGCTTTATCTCATGCAGATGTTTATGATTTTGTCCTAGAGTCTTCCCTTTAGTCAACAGCCAGAGATTTTTGGCTTGCATGACAATGTGGATATTGCAAAGGATCTTCAGGAAACCAAGACCCTCTTTGAATCTCTGCTTTTAACACAAGGAGGAGGCACTCAGGGAACTTCTGGGGGAGGCGACAGCACCCTTTATGCAATTGCAGATGATATTCTCAGCAAGGTATTGTATTAGACAAACGACTTCCATTTATCCTTTTACAAGGCAGAAATTCCTTAATTACAATTTGAAGTGTCAAATAGATTTTCTGTTGGAAGAAAAAGCTTCTGGGAAGAATTTAGTGGCTTATGCAAGTAAGAACTGGTGTGGCTGTAACACACCACAGATGTCTTTCAGTTGAAAGGAGTTTTATTAAATAGGTATAATACAGGATAATAATCAGAAAGTTTAGTGGTATTATTGCTCTGCAAATATTCACATTTGCATACCTTGAATGTAAAACCATTGCATAATGATATATGGAATGATTTTCAAAAATGTTGTCATTTACAGCTTCCAAATGATTTTGACATTGAAAGTTGCCTACTTAAATATCCTGTGAGATATGAAGAAAGTATGAACACTGTTCTGGTGCAAGAAATGGAAAGATTTAACAAGTAAGAATGTTCTATTTTATTATAATTCTTTTTGCAGGGAAAATCTTCCTGTGATTCATACACTGTAAGCTCTGTTGTGTGAAATATTCCATTTATTTTGTTCTCTTCTAATTGTCTGCAGTGATACCTGCCGTCCAAACACCCTTTCTCCTTGTGGAAAGTCAGAGTGTGGGATGGCTGTCAGGAAAATGGTCTGGGGGCAAAATGAACTGAAAGAGAAATACAAGATAGAAGAAGGGAGTGTGAGGAAGCTCTGGGAAGAGAGAATGCAAACAATATTTTTATGTTCCTTTTTTTTTTAACTTCCCTTTCCCTTTCACCATCTTTATCATCAGTTATATTTTATTTTCTTCATATTTCTGACCTGTAGGGTAAAGGGTTTAGAAACTGTAGTTTATGAAACCTTTTCCTTGACAGATGGGAATACTTCTGTATCTTTCTTTATTGTCTCACATACTTCTGTTTGAAAAATTTCCTTCCCCCCTCCCCTTTTCCCGTGCTTTTTTTCCCTAGACCTTATTTCCACAAGTACTCTCCTATGATTACAAGCCTAGAATCACTTTCATTTTTCTCTGTGGTTCCCTAGTCTCTTTTTTGACTTTGTTTCATAATTTTCTTTCTCTGCCTGCATCTCCATTCCTTCTTTTTGTTTTTTTCTTTGCCCTCCTCCTTTTCTATTTATCTCTTCACATTTCCTGCTCCATTTTCTCCCTAATTCCCTCTGGCCTTCAGTCTCCAAGTTCTCCTTGTTGCAGACCCTGCCCACCTCTTCTTTTGGAATCTAAACCTTTTTTCTTCATCTGGGGAATATCAATGGTGGATACCTTTGGAGATCCAAATTTATCCTCTTACCTAACAATACAGAGTATATCAGAGATAATTATTACCATTCCTAGTCTTAAATAAATCTACACAAAGCCATGACTTGACAGATATGACTAATTGTGTATACATGTATATGTGTGTATATATATGTATGTGTATGAATGTATCAGGTATACAAGTTCCATAGATGATTCCATAGTCACTCCTTAAAATTTCTTTCCAGTGCCACTGTCATGTTTTACAAACCATGCCAAATGTGTGGAAAATGTTTTATTTTCTGATTGCAGTTTAATCCGAACTATTCGTATTACACTCATTAACCTGAAGAAAGCCATTAAGGGACTGGTTGTTATGGATGCTGAGCTGGAGGCTCTGTCTGGCAGTCTCCTTGTTGGAAAAGTTCCTGAGAAGTGGGCACAACATTCCTACCCAAGCCTAAAGCCATTAGGGAGCTACATTGTAGATTTGCTAGCAAGGCTCAAGTTTTTACAGGTAATGTACAAAAGGCAGGGCTGCCAATTAGTTAATCTCCTTTTTTGTATCATCTGTCCTTTACCTTAAAAGATTACTGGGAAAGGAGGGATAGGCTTTGTTTAGATTTTCTGATTATAGTTATGCAGAAAATTGTCAAAGAGTGTGGGATTTCTCTTTCTGATTATTGAATGTGTCACTTTTCTCCTTCCAGGATTGGTATGAATTAGGGAAGCCTCCAGTTTTTTGGCTATCAGGATTCTATTTTACTCAAGCTTTCCTAACTGGAGCAATGCAAAACTATGCTAGGAAACACAGAATCCCTATTGACCTTCTGGGATATGAATTTCAGGTATGGAGAAGTTATAAATTACTATTTTGTTTATCTGAGTCCTGATGTTGTGGTGAGATGTAGTACAGAAATCCTGACTGGAAGGTTCATTTTGCAACCAACTCACTGCAGTCTGAAGACATACGTGTATTTCTTTAGTAAGGTTGTCATACCTTAATATATGTATATATATATGAAAAATTTACTATATATATATATGATATATATTCATAAGATGATATATAACATCTGTAGAAGAGATATATTCAAAGTAATGAAAAGTAATGCTGGCATTGGACCTGGACCTCCACTCAAAAAACAGCCTATATGGTTCATATTCATCTGTGTGATTCAAGCCTCATTTTATAACCTCTATAAAGGTAATTAACAAACCCACTGAAATCTGCTCTCCATGGTTTGGAATAAAAGCAGCACTGAAAGGAAGATGTTACTGCAAAGAGCAGTGGAAGTTTAATAACATGGAAAACTTATTTCTTGCAGGTTATTCCTCAGGATACTGCTGATACTGCACCAGAAGACGGTGTTTATATCCACGGATTATTTTTAGATGGAGCTCGCTGGGACAGGACAAAGTCAGTAGCCAAGTTTTTCACTGTGGTTCTGGAAAGCTTTCTTAGATGCTCAGACAAGATTGGCTGAAATATTTTGAGAGATACTTTTCACGTTATTGAAGTAACATCCCAAATTAAATACTCTCTCACACATGGAAGAAAAAGCCAACAAAGAGCATCAAAAACCAAACAAACCCCCACCAAACCCCTCAAGCCACAAATAATTATTTTGTTGCTTTCTCTCACCAGGGGAATGTTGACTGAGCAGTATCCCAAAGTGCTCTTTGATGCCATGCCAATCATCTGGATAAAGCCAAGTGAGTGCAATTTCTCTGGTATGAGCTATTCAACAAGAAATCACAGCAGTGGTTTCCTTTTTTACTTTTAGATGAAAAGACTAGTTAAATGAAGTTTTTGTGAATATGTTCAGTTGCTCCCAACCTATTTTTCAACAAAAAGTTAATTTGGGTAGGAAAGCACATGGTACTTGAATTCCTGGCTCTATTCAAGCTGAGGGGAACTTTTAACTGACTTACAGAGACTCAGTATTTTACCTCATGTGATTTAGCAAGGTTTGCTCAGGTTATTTTTAGCTGCTGTGCCAGCTGTCTGTCATACTAGTAAGTGGTTTTTCACAACTTTTGTTTTCTTTGATCAGGAGGAGTAAATCCCTGTTTTACTCGCATAATCACAACTTTCTACTGCAAGTGTTACAGCTTAGATGTTGTCAGCAAACGGGCAGTCTAAAAAATTCCCACTTTGCCTGCTTTCTCTTGAGGTTGGATGAATCTGTTCAGACCTGCATGATTTTAGGCTTTGCACAAGTTCCATGTAACCAGTCTGGGCACACAAAGAGTTCCTGCAGAGTTCTGTCCAGGTGACTTGAATTGCAGTTAGTTCTGTGGCAGCTGGACCAGAATTCTTGTAGAGCTTTTACATGCTCATGTATAAACTACGGTTTAAGTAGGTAACTGTGCAGATTTAATGTTTCTTTGAGTACTACAAAGCTTGTAGAATCACAGGAAGGCATTGAATCCTGAAAACAAATTGTGGATTGTAGTTGGGTTTAAAAACAAAAGATACCACACAAGAGAACACCAAAAAAAGAAGCTGAATAATTTTATTCTGTTGCTCACAAAACAATGTTGCATTTTTATTTAGCTTTAAAGACATTACTGAAAATACTTGATATTTGCATGCAGATTATTGTATCAATAGATCTGCTGAATGTAATGGCTTATTTTGGGGTTCTTTTGAAGCTCCAAAATCGGACATAAAGGAATCCAGTGCCTATGTTTGCCCACTCTACAAGACAAGCGAGCGCAAAGGAGTCCTATCGACCACCGGCCATTCCACCAACTTCGTCATTGCCCTGAGGCTGGACACGGACAAACCTGTCCAGCACTGGATCAAGAGGGGGGTGGCACTGCTCTGCCAGCTGGATGACTGACCCTGGGCACTTCAGGCCAGGCTCCACAAGATCCTGTTCTTTTTGTTGGCTTACCCAGCAAGGGGAACACTGTGTGGAAAAGAAACATCCAGAGTTTTTTATATGAAGAGGGCTACAAATACTTTCTGATCTTCGGTATTTTGTCTTAATTAAGTATGTGTTGTTATTATTAGTGTTTTTACAATCTGTAAACAAACAACTAGGATTTTAGCCCTTAGTAATATTATTATTGTGTGAACATCAGTTTTATGCCTTAGTTAAATATCACAAAATGTATGTTAATGGAACATGAAAGTAGTCTGCACTTTCTGAGAGAAACATTACAGGCAATAAACTTGATGCTGCACATTTCTTTTCTTTAAAAATAAAAAATAAAATTACTCAAGCATTCTTTCTAGATCTCCTCTAGCAAAGAACTCTTTCTACCTTGTATTCAGATATATCATCATTTCTTTGTATGGATCCCTCTGCGAAATACAGTGGGAATAATTCCATCCTGCCCTCACTTTACAACTGGGCATCTGAGTGCCTCACTTCCCTCTGCTGAGTGTTACACCAGTGTAAGTCTGTCTTACTGAAACTTCTATTTCTTTTAAAAACTCTGTTTCTCATTTGCTTTTCTGCTTATATTACTGAATATATACTGAATTGTGACTAAGCAATCAGAAACATAATAATTTTAATAGCATTTTTGCTTGATTTTGTTTACTTGTGTTTACTTTTATTGGGTTTAGTTTTTGTGCTATCTTACCCTTTTAAGTAAGCTCTTCAGTTTTCTCTCTTAGGACAGCACTGAAGACTTTTCTTCTCATAATGTAATAGTTACTGCTATAGTTCTGAAATTCTAATTCCAAAAAGAGAATTTTTACAAGGAAACTGGACTTTTAATTCCTTCTTTTGTTGACACCATTTGTCAGGTCAGATTATTAAACATGACTGGCCTGTGTGAGAGAAACATGGACAAAGTCCCAGCCTGTCTCATGATCGGGTATTTATAGGGAGCTATTAATGGACATGGGCTCTGCAGAGATCATTTACCATCCTGAAAATATCACTTTCAGCTTAATAATTACTTCTTCAAAGTGTGAGGTCTTCCCTCTTTCAGAAGGTGAGGAAAACCAGTATATTTTCTCAATTCATTGGAAAATTAGTAGTCTCTTTACAGTAAAGAAGTAGTCTAGACTTAAAATGTTTCTGTACTGACTGTGCCATAGTATAATCCATTACTAACAGTCTGTATTTGTTTTAATAATTTCTTTTCTTTGCTACATGTGCTATTACAGAGCAAGGCCTTGCAATCACACATTAGGTGGATCAGGTAACAAATTAAATGCTGCAGGTTTGCTGTGAATTACTGCTGCCCAACTTTAAGATGTTTCTAGAATTACTCCAAACTTTGTAAGTGGCACATTGACAACTTCCTTAAATTTACTGTGCTCATTCATTTTGCCAGTTTATTTATTTGCTTTCAGTTTTACTTATTTATTTTATGTTATTTTTCCCTGTAGTTTTGAGGGTTTCTTTCAGGCCAGCTGTCTTGAAAGACTGAAGTGGATGTTTTGAAAAGGTAAAGCAGATGAGAGGTTTGAACCTAACAGAATATCTGTGATTTTAACCTATAATAGCATGTAGCTGAATATCCAGAAGGACTTAACAGTGTACATCTACATCCTTTATGCCATTTAGTGATCAATTTGATCATTAATAATTTTTTATTATTTCTTCCTAAATTTTAACATTTAGACTTAACATAGTACCAGTTAGATTTAATTCTATGCTCCAAGGTTTGTCTTGCAATCTTTAATTGAACCCTTTCAATATAGAGAAGTTTTATGTGCTTGGTTTTTGGGTTTGGTTTTTTATTTGTTTGTTTTGGGTTTTGTTTTCTTGTTTGTTTTTTTAATGTTATTCTTAAGCTTTTTTTTGTGTTATTAACTCAGTTGTGGTTACACCAGTGTGCTTTATTTCTGTCTGTATTTGGATATATACTGTTGCAGTATTTTGGATATATCCCTTAAAAGTATCAGAAGCAAACAGGCGTGCATGGATGGAGACAGAACTGTAAGTTTATCAGTTATAAAAGGCAGTTCACTGGGTACACAAGGTGGTGAAGTTGGTGTTTTTCCAAGCACATTTGCTGTTGTTTCAGTTGGATGGCTGGTGCACAAAACAGCACGGATCTGCAACACTTTCCTGACTACCAGACACTGCCCCAACAATGTCTTTGTTGAAACTGTTTGAACAAGAGCTCTTATTAAAAATTTTCATGTCCTTCACTTGCCCTTCCCTTCCAGGCCTGCTGTGAATGAACAGGGAAAACATCCTGTGTCTTATTGTACATCTGTTTTCCCACTAAGGAAACATCAGAACATCAGAAACATCAGAACATCAGACACTCAGATTTGAGTGTCTAAATGGCTTAAGAGGGAATGACTGTTTATCTAAGAGCAAAGTTTTGCATATTTTTGTCGCGTTCTAGGAAGCAATGCCAGAACAAGTAGCTATTCTGTATGTTCAGTCTGTGGAACAGAGAAAAAAGCTGGGACGTGCTACAGGAGTAGAAAACCTTTACTCTGTTCTGAATAGAATAATCCTGCAGTGCAAACCTAAACCCTTGGGAGAAGGCTGAAGCCTGAGATGGAAACGTTCCAATGCATTTATTTTAAACTATGTTTCATTTCTCTTGATACTGTAATAGTGACTGCTGTTTCTATGACTTCAGATTTAACCTGAAGATTTAACATCTGCTTCCAATTAACAAGCAGTGTCCCTACACGAAGTGATCCAGGCTGTGCTGATTTGCCATGTACAATTCTGTGTATATGTTTGATGACAATTCTGATGAAGAAATCCCTACCCAACGAGCTATTCAGGAAAGCTTACAGGAGAGGCACAAAACTGAAACAAGTGGCTGTGCAACAGAGGCTGAAAGGTAATAACTTACTACTTCTATTTTGAGTTTTGGCATTATTGTAAGCATGTGGTAACCTTTCTTTCCTTTGTGACTCCCTGGGTTGGATTGCTCTGACCTTGTCTCATGGGTACTGGAAACCACTGGTAGCTCACTTGGTCTGAGTTCTCCCTGAAAAAGCATACCTGTTTCCTTGAAAATATGGGAATGTGTGAACCTTTCAGATGATGTGTTACATCAATATCTAAATGAGTGCAAGGCTTTATGAAGAAGATAAGTAGGTGATGTAAAATCAGATTGGTATGGTAGCTTCCCCTCACCTTAATATTTAATTTTTTTGTGTAAAAAATTCAACACTTATGGTGTCAGGGGAAGACCAGCAAAAAACTGTTTTAATGTGGTAAACCCTGACAAAATTGATGTAACTTAGAGAAATCTAACATGTAGTCTAGACTTAAGTATTTAAATTAAGGTATAATTGTATCCTGAACTTCATATTCATTTTTACTCCATTCTTCTGTTTGTGCAGTTTCCAGTCTACTGCAAGTAAAGAACATGGAGAGATAATTGCAGCAATTCAGACAGTTAAGTACAAATCCCCCCCACCAAGCCTGTACCCCTGGGAATTGCTGAGCAATGCCTACATTTGAGGTGATTGATCACCTGATTTAAGTGCAGTTTTTCTTTCTATAGTCTTGGGAAGAGTAAGACAACTGAAAACAGGACATCCAAACTAACTTATTAGATAGGGTCAAGATGGGTTCAAGTGTCACCCTTTTCAGGAATTACAGTACTTCATTTCCTGAAATTAGGGGGAAATTCTAGGCCTTTTTTTAAAAAAAAGCAGTTTTGAAGTGTTAATTGATTAGTCAATTAATACTTTATAATAGCATTTTCCATTTTGCAAGATACCCAGATTGAAAAGCTTTCTCTACCTGAAGAGTGTTCCAATACTGTTCCTTAACTGCAAAACTTAAGTGTATTCCAATATGAGATGCAATATTGCTCATGAGAAGATTGTACTTGAACTACTGTAGCCATGTTATTGTAAGGAAGTTGTTTTCCATGTATAATTCAAAATGCTTTGTGAGTCAATGTTGATCAATGATTGTTCCATTCATGTAAACTTCCCTCTGAGAAAAAATTGCTCTGACAAAGCCAGTTGTTTATTCTGAATACACTGATGGGATAAGTGGCACTCAATATATTAGCTGTCTGAATTTTGTCTTATGGTTAGTAATGGGATCTGTGTCTGTCTTTAAACCCCACAGGCCAAGAAGAGGCCTTGAAGAAGCTGGTGAAGCACAGCTGTGCCTTTGAAGAAGCAGATCAGCAGGGCTGGCTTCCTGTGCATGAAGCTGCAGCACAGCCAAATAAGAACATCCTTGAAATAACCATGAAAGGTACAGAGTCCTCCTGGTTTGCCACCAAAAAGTTTGTACAGAATTGAGTTGAATCAACACCCAGCTTCAAATGTGTTCTGCTGTTGTGCATTTCAGCCTCCCAGGCCCACACGTGGGAACAGAGAACCCTGAAAGGGGAAACACCTCTCCTGGTGGCAGTGAGGAAGTGCTTTGTGGACAATGTGTGCTTGCTCCTCATCAATGGCTGCAATCCCAACGTTAAGAATGAAGAGGGAGATTCTCCTTTAGTTACAGGTGAATACCTTATTTAGGGGTGGAGAGGTGAGGCAATTAGGGGAGATCATACTTACACATTTCAGGTTTCGATTTGACTTCTTATTAAAATATTTTGCCGTAAAGGAGGAAAAATTTTAATCTCAGCATTGAATGTGTCTGTCCTTGTCTGTTTTTCTTAGATGATATCAAGTCTCCAAATAAGTTGTCAATTCCAAGTTAGGGTCTGTCACTACAAAGTCCTTAGCATTATTTATTAATTAACATTTTCCCATAACATAGAACTGGGAGAAGTAAAATATCCTCCCACAAAATCTGATCCAATATAGGGAGTTCCAGATGCCTACTGCCTTTCATTCCTCAGTTGCAACGAGTTTGAAGTTCAGGTTGAACATACCTTTCCCCCCCAAAGAATCAATTAACTTTCTCCATGAAGTGCAGAGGGTCATCCTCTGCTTCCCTTGGCATCATTTATGCAGTGGTGCCAGGCAACCAGGTCCTCCTTCATGCTGTTACTGCCCTGCATGTCTGCAGGCACAAAACATTCCTATTCTCTGCCCAACATGGTATCTCTTCCATTGCATAGGCCTCTCTTTCTCCAAATCCCATGGTACTCCCATACCCAGGAGCACTCTGTGTGGATGCCACTTTATTGGATCATGCACGAGAACTGCACTTCCTGATTTGCAAAGAACCATATTTTACCAAAATGTTTTTCCAAAGTGTTCTGTGTTCACTTCATTTGCTTCCCTCAGTTTGGGCTATGCTGTAATTCCTACTGAATCCTAGCCAAAAAAAGGAAAGTGTGTTGTCATTATCTCAGTTCTAAAGGAGCACTATAAGTTTCTTGGATTAACCTGTACATTTTTCAGTATTGGAAGGGTGGTTTTTTCAAAACTCTTGTTAAAGGAGCAGTGCCAACCAACCATCTGTAGGACCCCCAGTCCATCCCTGTGAAACGGCTGAAGCTTCTGGTCAGGGCTTACAAAGGATGTAGAGAATTCCTAGACATTTTTGAAGTGCACAGTATTAAACAGCATCATCCCACAAGATAGGGATGTTTGGGATTTATCTAAAGCAGCCATGTAGGTTCCAGATAATGGCACATCACAGCTCAGATCACAGGATGCTGTCAGGGGTGCTTCAAGCAGCTGTGGCATATGAAGAGTCTCAGCCTAATCTGTCCTGATGAAGGACACTTGCTACGCTGCACAGCCTGGGAGATCAAAGAGAGGAGGGAAAGGTGTTGCCCCTTCATTCCATTCCCTGGAGCCAATGCAAATTTCTCTTTTAAGATTCTTACAGACTTAACAGTTCTCGCTTATTAAACGAAGGAGGTATATGACACAATAATTTTAAACTTTGTTTCATATTGTGGTAACTGCTAATGAAGATTAAATGGACCTCTGCTGGCAGCTCCTGACTCCACCAAGGCCCTGGATGTGGCCTCCATCTAGTGGTGAGGGAACCTTGTTCTGTTCCATCATCAGACACAACACAGGATTACGGAGAGAGAGATTACCATGAGGTGGTTCATTTGTATTGTTAGTGCCATCCTGGAAGCAAAGAACAGAATTGTTGATAACTTAAACCTTTCGGTGTAGGGTGACATTTCTCAGAGGATAAAGAGCACTGCAGGAACAGCTCTCCTGCCACATTGCAGAAGCCACAGTGCATGGAAAGGCATTGGGTAACATCTGTCTGATGCTTTGCTTTTTGTGCTACAGCAATTAAACAGGATTCCTACGAAATGGCCTCCTTGCTGATAAGATCTGGAGCCAAAGTGGATCTGCAGTGTGTCCACAAGAGAACTGCTCTACACGAGGCAGCCAGGCTGGGCAGGAAGGATCTGGTGGAGCTCCTCCTTCATTCCGGAGCAGATCCCGACCCTCGCAGTGGATATGGGCTCACACCTCTGGCACTGGCTGCACAGATGGGACACACAGAGATTATGGAGCTCTTATTGCAAAAAGGTAAGACTTATTTATATAGGATCTTCCAGGAAGAGAAGGCTCAGCGTGGGGTTCTGTCATCAGGGTTATAAATTATGGGATGGGATGAATGCAGAGCCAGATTCTCACTCTACTGAGAAGTAACTCACCTTACTAAAGAATATTAAATGCTACTGGCACCAAGAGGGTTGTTGTGATGTAGTTGAGGCCTGATAAAAATCACATTTTATAAGGTTAAAATAATATATTCATATTTTATTTGACAAATATTTTGCATTTGTAATTGATTTTAAACGCTCTATTGTTTTCTCATGTGTAGAGGTCACCTTAGGAAAGGCCTGACAAGACATTTATTGTGGGGAATTTTACCTGGTGGTTCAGCAGCACTGGAACTGGATTGCATGAACTTTTTGGATATTGGGTTCTCTCATATTTACAGTTATATCTGTCTGGTCTTTGTAAAGTAAAAGAGTTGAAGAGCATTCTATGTAAGCCAAAAATCAACTGTTTGGATGAACTGGCCTTTTGCTGGCCTAGCTCTTGCAGCAAATCTTACCACGTAATTGTATTCAAAGCAATTTGGACCTTCTTGTTCCCTGGATTCCATAAACACATCTAAAATCAAGGATCCAATATGAAGGTTTACTCCCACATTGGTTTTATTTGAAGAATAGAATTCCCAATACCCTCTCACTGGAGGGTTGGAGACATTAATCCTGGCTGGGTGTGTACAGTGATTCCTCTGAAAATCCTCTCTGCCTCTTTCCAGGTGCAGATGTTCTTTCACAGGCAATGGATTGTGCTTCTGTATTATTTGAAGCAGCAGGAGGAGGAAATCCAGATTCTGTGAGTCTTTTACTAGAATATGGGGCTGATGCCAATGTACCAAAGCACTCGGGTCATTTGCCAATCCACAGAGCTGCATATAGAGGACACTTTCTGTGAGTTAATACACTTAAAAATCAAGTAACAGTGACATGAGAAATATTAATTTTGCTAATTCTACCTCATTCAAAGCAGGTAGCAAATCTGTAGTTTTGTACAAGGAATTGGTTTGACTGTGTAAATATGATTGTTCTGTGTCTGAATGTAAGAGATCAGTAAGGATAAAATCTTCATCACTTTAGGATAAACATTTTAATCCCTGTAGTATTTCCCTATTTGTCACAAATAATAACATTGTCCAGGCTGATGTTGAGGTTCTTGGGACATCCTCACTCTCTTTGGATCTATGTCTCATTTCCACCTCATCACAGCAAGGTGAATATACCAAACAGGCAAATAAGGAATAAGGGTTACCCTTATGTTAAAGACAGTAAGGTTACTGGAAGATATTTTGTCTAAAATCACAACTAGTAAGAGAGAAACAAGAATCTGAGGATTCTTAATTCCTATGGTAATATTTTATTAGTTATATTAAGTTACATTTAAACTTTAATGTATATATTACATTTTAGATTACATGTATTCATGTTAAAATATAGTATATTTTATTAATTCCTTAATTCCTACAGGTTTAGTGAAAACATCGTGCTCTTGACATTTAGGAAAAGCTTCTATTGAGGAGGAATCCTCTAGCAAGGAATGGGTTGTTAATGAAATGAATATATATTTACATGTATATATAAACAGAATATAGAATAATATTTTTATTCTATTATAGTAGAATAGAATAATATTTTATGGATAGCAAGTGTTAAGTCAGTATCCATTGAAATTTGTTACCAGTTCAAGTCAATACTTGCCAAGGTACTGATTAGGTAGATTAAGATGATTTTTACAGTCATGATGAATTCTGAAGTCCAGCAACATAGAGAAATTCCAAGATGAGTTAACTGAAGCAATATGTTTAAGATTCTGAGATTTTTTTTTTTTTTAATTTTTCAGAGCCCTAAAATATTTAGTTCCAGTTACTGATTTTGCTGCCATTAAAGAAAGTGGGATAAGTCCAGTTCACTCAGCAGCAGCAGGAGCACATCCACAGTGCCTCGAGTTTCTCCTCAACTCTGGGTTTGATGCCAATTTTATGCTGGATCAGCGGGTTCGCAAAGGCTATGATGACCACCGCAAATCAGCGCTGTATTTTGCCGTGTCCAACGGGGATCTCTGCTCCACGCGGCTGCTGCTGAACGCCGGAGCCCTGACCAACCAGGATCCCATCAACTGCCTGCAAATCGCCCTGAGAATGGGCAATTACGAGTTAATGAACCTGCTGCTCCGCCACGGGGCCAACGTGAATTACTTCTGCAGAGTGAACACCACGCACTTCCCCTCGGCGCTGCAGTACGCCCTGAAGGACGAGGTCATGCTGAGGATGCTGCTCAACTACGGGTACAACGTGCAGCGCTGCTTCGACTGCCCCGGCGGAGACCACTGCCACTCGCAATATGTCACTGACGGCTGGACCTCCACTGTCATCAAAGACACGATGGTGAGTGCAGCACCGGCTCCGGGAGCTGGGCTGCCACCAGCATCCTGCCTACAGCTCAATGGAAAGGGACTTAATGCAGCGTCAGAAAAGGAAGGTTTGAAACTGTTGAGGCAGTTTATACCTAAAGATAGGAATAGAAAAGGCCTTAAAATGGAATATATATTGTCATGAGGCCTGATTCGTGGCAGCAAATGATTGCCAACTGTATTTCTGAATTGAGAAAAAACTGCTTATGATATCTAATGATCAGCATGGCATTGGTTTTCCACAGCAGTCTCGTTCATGCTGTGAGACTTGCAGGCTGGCTCCCTGCCTTGTCCTAAACAGTAACACCAACACTGGAAGGCTGCTCTAAGGACCCTGGAGCTGGAATAGGATAGCCAGCTTTAGGATACTTAAAGAGGGTCCTCGAGACACCCATCAGTGTCATTGTGTAGCAGTTTGTAAAGTCCATTTGAAAGTAATAAACCTTTCTTTAACCTAAAGATAAGGGGCTGAGGGGTGAAGGGGGCTGGTGGATCCCCCTGTTCAGCATGCTAGGACAGAAGTCTAAATTCCACTTAGGGATTCATGGTACTTCTTTTTAAGCACTTAGTTACCAAATATACAGCTGCTGAAGTTTATTTTTGGATCTAGTACAAAATAACCATCTCTCAGATTTTCAGATTCTACTGGTGAGGCTTAATGCAAGCTGAGTGACAGAACACTCGTTCTGCCTTGGATTCTGCTGAAGTTATTCAGTTGCTCTTGTCCTGCATAGAGTAATCATTTGCAGCAGTACTGAATATTATGCCATTAAACATTTTGTTTCTCTCAGTTCTGTGAAGTGATAACCTTGTCGTGGCTGAAGCACGTATCCGGGAAAGTGGTGCGAGTGATGTTGGACTACGTCGATCACATCAAGATCTGCTGGAAGCTCGAAGCAGTTCTCAAAGAACAGAAACTCTGGCCAGACATCAATTTTATTTTAAGTAAGTATCTGTTTAGATTTGAATTGAAAACAAGCTGCTTTGGGATTGGGGCCTTTTTTGCTGACAGTATTTTAATTTGCATTCTCCTTTCTAGCAAATCCTCGCTCTCTGAAGCATCTGTGTCGCCTGAAGATCCGGGAGTGCATGGGCCGGCTGCGTCTCCGCTGTCCTGTCTTCATGACCTTCCTTCCACTGCCCAAGTGCCTGAAAGACTACATACTGTACAAGGAATATGACCTTTATGGACAGGAAAACTTCACAGGAATCTACAACCTCAACTGTACATAAGTATATCCCTGTATTTTGAAGGGAATGTTAAATGGATAAGACTGTTGTGCTGCTGCTTTTTTCTTTGCGGATTTTTTCTCCTATGTGTATTAAGGAATGCCAGCATCCCCCCCCCCCGCTCCCTGAAGAAACTGGGGAGAACCCCAAAATGTAAGTATTGGTGATCCCATTTTATGTATCTCCTGGAATATGACCTACCTGAAAGTTGTGGCAACGGTATTTTAAATGCCTACTGTGACATGTTGAGGAAATGTAAAATGCAGGGCTGCAATCCTTGTGTTACTGCTCAGTTAAACCCTGTTGTATCAGATAACACTGCCCCACTGCAGGTTAAACCCAGGGTTTAGTAAAAGGTCAGGGATTTAACTAAAACCAGGAAGGGACAGAATTCTTTTTTCTCATGTACTTCCTCTTCTTTTGACAAGAAGTAGGTTTTTTTTGTGAGGTTCTACAGTGATTTTCTGAAGAGCAGCTCAAGTTGATTTTTTTTTTTTTGTCACCCTATCAAGCAATCCCACATTCCAGGCAATGCAATGGGATTAAGCTACAGCAACCTCTGCTTATCCAGCAGCTCCTGTGACATAGCAGTGTTTCAACAGGGCAGCCCTGCTGCAAGGTGTTAGTTCTGCAGCTCAGGCTTAGGGGCTGGTCTGTCTCACCCACCGTGGACTTTGATTATTCTCCCTCTCTAGAAGGCGGCTTTCCTTTTACAGCGCTGGCCAAAGCCATGCATGCAATTTTAGGAGTTTCTCTCCATAGAGTTGCAGCTTAAGCTTTTGGAGCACTTTCATTTTAGGAAGTCTTACAGAAGATATTAGATGTTAGGAATATCTATAGCACACCTGTTCTTTCTAAAAGTACTGCAAACGTCAGTCTATATTTTAGAAAAAAAGAAGTTCATCAACACATTTGGCATTAGTAGTATTTATTCCTTCATTATCAAGTAAGCATAGATTTATTTTTTTTTTTTTTAGTTATACATGCATCTTTATCACGGAAGTTACAGAATTCAAAAGTCTGCTTTTCCCCAGAAAAATCTACAAACCTTATAAAATACAAATTTAACCATAATGTAGTTATGACCCATGGCTTTTTACATGGTGTTTTTCATATAGTAACCTGCTGAAGCCTGTCAAGGTGTGTCCAGTACCCAGGTTAGTGCTGTGCTGGCAGAGCCTCCACCCAGGGGAACTCAGTGTTCCCACAACAGCAGCTCTGCAGGGCCTGCCACCAGCCTGTGTGACAGCCCCCCACGGGCACTGTGGACAGTCCTGTGTGACAGCCCCTGCCACAGCCCCCCACGGGCACTGCACAGCCCCTGCCCCGGCTCCTCCTCAGCTTCAGTCTGGGAGCGTTGCAAAAATAAGTTCCCAGGTTCCCGAGTATAACAACTTGTCTGGCAATAGGTATGGAAATGAAGAGAACTGAGCTACACTTGATGACAGAGGGAGATAACTGCATGTCAGAGCTTTGGTTAATGGAAGGGAGCACGTCCTGTCACCAACAATGGTACTTCCTGAAGGTCAGTGTTATGAAAAATGCAGGAGGCTTTTGCATCAGTACAAGTCCCACCCAGAAAGTTACGAGAGTTAAGCTTTTATTTAATCTACAAAATGCTGACTGGAGCCCTGGCACAATAGGGTTACTGTCCATGTTTCCAAGATTAAGACACAACAATCAGAGTTGACATAAATATGCCATTGGTGGTTTTTAATACAGCTATTCAGGGAAAATGTGCAAGTCAGTCTCAAACATTGCAAAAATCACTTACACTTCACCAGAACAGGACCAATCCAGAACATCATTGTAAGAATTTGATCACTCCACTCTATTATAAAAATGACCAGAAAGATTGTACAAAGTCCTTGTCTTGCAATACAAAACTCATTAGGAATACAAGTGCATTCACAATGACACACTGACTTATTCTTGTCATGACAACTTAGATACCACTGTGGCAAAGGGAAAAAAAAAAGTCAACTTAGTGCTTGACTAAAAAGAAAAGCACTGGAGACTAATTACCTTGCAAGAATTTTTGTAATACAGAGTAAGGAAAATAATATAAAATATCAGCTTTTGCTGTTAGACTAGACAGTGTCTCTATAAAATTCACTAAGCAGTGGCAGATTTTCTTTCTCTATGTGAATGATTTCTGAAATAATAAGAGACTATACTGTTAACATAGTTTTCTCCATTGGCTTTTCCCAAAAGCTGTGCAACTACTTAATCAGAATTTACCTTAAAACATAAACATAGTCAAATTTATCTCTTTATATCAATGCACATAAATTACAGCTTCATAAATAGCTTCAGCTGTTTCAGGATTTTCAGCTCTGAGTTTACATCTATATAAAGAGGAAATCTGACAACTTTATAGGGAGAAATGTTCCTTAACCATGAAATATTACCTTACTGATAGATAGTGAATTGTCTTGATACAATTTCAAACTAAACAGATTAAGGAAGCGACACTATGACATTCAAATGACATTACGCTACCTGCTTGTAACCACTTTTATATGGCTGAGTTGTTCATGACTTTGCCCTTGTCCTCTGCTTTAGACTTGGCCACATTCTACCAGAGCCCACAGAGGAGTGCCAGGGATTATCTATAATGCAGTAAAATGCAGACCCATAAGCACACTGATATGTTTTATATACACGCCATTACATACATCTTGTATGTAGCTTGAAACAACTGCCAGCAAGACTTGCTTGTTCTGCAGCCTGTAAACTTGCAGAGTTACAGGTTAACATCCCTCACCTGAGGCCTAAAGTGTAGCAGGAACTATGAGGCTGCAATCAGCAACACAACAAGTTAGTCCTGAACACCACTGCCCATCAGTACCTGCCCAAAGTCACTTCAAAACCAGGGACTTGAAAGTATTTTCAGGAGTGACTCAAATAATAGTAGATGCACATGAAGCAAACTACAGCTTCAGCTGGAAGTACTTGAAAGATCAGCCTTTGAGTAAAAGGCAACAGGAAATAATGAACAGGAGAAATAAATTACAGGAGAGGAAATCAACCAGTAATTTAGTCACAGTAATACAATGCTCAGGTGGTGAAATCCTACCACAGCTGTTCCCAGAACATGAGGTGCTCCCACTAAAAGTCATATTCTCAAGGAAAATACTAAGCATTCTGATTTCTTTTTTAAATTAACAAAACTGTTTTCTAATGAAGTAGTTCTGGACCTCATAGGAAGAAAAGGTACCAAATAGTTTTTTTATTTTGGGAAGAAGGCCATGGATAATAACTCAGCAGCTGTTTTTGCCTCGAGATGGTTCTAATTACAGAGCTGTGTGATCCTCCCCTTAGGCAAAGCTCAGTAACTCCCACCCCTGATAACTCAATGCACCATTCCCCTCTGACTTCCTCCTGTCTCTTGACCTGCCATTGGCTCCTGCAGTTTCACCATTAGCCCAGATGCTTTTATACCTTCTTGCTCATTTTATACCAATGAAACTCCCCAAAATAAGCAAAAAAACAACCCCTTCATTTCATTCATGCAGATCAATCTGTTTTCTTTAACTACTCTGTTCAACCATTTCTCCTTCTTTTAGTGGTTAAGATGAAAATCATCCAACAGCAGTGAAATGCACCTCACTCCTGTGCTGTCTGTTTTAGAAACCCACAGTTAATGGCACTGAAAAAATACATTTCAGGCAATGGAAAGCCTGAAAATCAAATGGAATAGTTCAAATCATGTATTGCTGAATCTGAAAAATCCCATATGGTGGTGAATTCACCTGCCACTTCATTTGCTTTTCTTCCTCGTCTTTGCAGATTTAGATCTAAAATTGTAATAGCAGGATTCAAGAAAAAATACAATAATTCTATTTTCTGCCATTTCTTCAATAAGGCTAAAGCAGAACAGGCTACACATCAGAAATGCTTTGTCATGAGAGTGCTCATCTATCACCTGCCTTCCCTCTGGAGCCTGGGCTACTGCAGCTCAAGTGCTTAACACAGTCAGTCCTTCCCTGACAAGATGAGGTTCTACACACTGTAGATCAGTGATTTCAGACTTCCTGTGCTGTTTCTAAAATTCTTCATCTTCACACGTACTTGAGAAAGATACAAGTCATAGCAGTAACCTTGGGCTGCCTCGAGATATTATTTGGTAGAAAACAGAAATATCAGTAAATAAAAACAAACAAAAAACTCAAACTAATGAAACATGAATTTGCATAATTTGCAAACTGGCTGGATTCTCTGTAAGCCTTGATTTAGGCCCCCAACGGGAAAAATTTGGATTTGCAGCCTCTCTGTGCATTTCTGGGGGAAAGAATTAATATAGTATCTTAAGGATACTAGATATGAAATAAAAATGCCACTCTCTTAAAAGAAGCCTCAGGTTGGTGTGGTCCATGTGACTGTGTGGTAGACAAATCTGGCCACAGGGCAATACCATTTGGCCTCACTGGGCAACAGCAAAAGCAGCTACTTCTGCAAGTGCCTGGCTGCTCTGGGGCTGAGAAATGCACTGGAACAGGGCCTGGGAATTAACTTGGGAAGAGATCCTGGAGGCTCCCTGTGCTCGGTCAATCCAGGGGTACTGTGACCCCTCCAGTGACTGCTCCAGCCCCTCCCTGGACTGTGGTGCCACCAACATCTGCTGGGAGCTGCTCCAGCTCCTGCTTGTGTGCTCACCCTGCTGCAAGGACAGGCACTGCTGCCCTTCTCCCCTGTGTCAGGAGTGCTCAGTGACCTCCTGCACACGCAGTCACGGCACCCAGGGCAGGAGGAGCTGCTTTAGCCAGTGCAGGGCACTCCAGTGTGCAAGGAGAGCCCTCTGTGCACCTGCAGCTGTGACCTGAGATTCCTCACTGACTTCATCAGCACTGAGCAGCTCCAGCTCTGAAGGGCTGGGCCATCACCAGCTGCTGGGGAGATACTCTGAAAATTGCTTACTCTGAAAATTGCTTCCATTCCTGAACACCAGAAATGCCCTGCAATGAACTGTAAACCACTCATAACTGTTATATTATAACTTGGAGTATAAGTATATTCTTCTCTCTCTACATGTCCTGTTATCTTCGTGCCGCTATTAGAGAGCTATCTATCTTCTGTTCCACTGGATTTTAATATTTATAGTAATTAGTGCAAAAATAAATATTTCTCTTCAAACAAGTTTTCTCTTCTGGATCAAAAGGTGAATGCACATCTAATACTATACAAAATAAATATTACACAGGGTATGGACTATGGAGTGCAGATTACAAGCTGTAAACAGACACTGCTTTGAAAAATGCTTTCCAGGATTGACTCTGGGATGTAGGATTATCATCATCTCTTACTTCCAAAATGGCAAATTCTGTTTGCAAAATCCCTTTTTATAGGAAGACTTACAGAGCCTCAACTCCTTTGCAGTAGATGCAGTGTACTGGCATCAAGGCATTTACACGTGCCGAAGATTACTGGAATTCAAGATGTTCTTGCAACTCTAAGCATGTCTTATAAAAGTGAACTCAAAGGTTTACAGCTCTTTATTCCAAGGACTGGGGAAAAACCAAGAACATGGCACTTGTGCTCCCAGGCTGTACACATTGCTCCTATCATTTGATGAGGAATGCTTTTCCTCAGGCAGCAAAGTTCAACTGCATCTCATCAGCTCTCATCTAGGTCTGACAGTATCTTTTTCTCCTGGTGAAAGAAGTCTTTCAGCATTATAATCACCCCAAAAAGACCCCAATGCAATATCATACAGTGCAAAACGAAACAAAAAAGATCCTTCTGTCTAGAACTATTGCACATCTCACTGATGTTAATAAGGATTTTTCTTTCTAAATCTAAGAACAGTTATGTGCAACAAATTGGGTAAAGCTTAGCACTGTCTTATTTGGACATTCACTTCTGTTTCCAGCAAGGTGTTCTCCATAGTGCAGTGGATAGAATGAGTTTCATGTACTGCTGAAGCCCCAGGGGAGTTTTAAGTTTTGCTTCAAAAGCAGTTAATTGCACAGAGAAGTAAGTGGGGAAAAAACCCACTTTTTTTTTTTCCATACTGCAGAGAAGCCTTGAGAAAACATAAATTTGTAATAAACATGGCAGCGTCACCATGCTTCATCTGGCATATGGAAGAGAAATTATACTGACAGGAAAATGGAAATCACTTAACTGAGAAATAAAAATCAAGGCATAATAGGGTCTATATATTGAGAAGTCTTTTCTATAATACAACAGACCCACCACCTACATTTCACTTGTTGTAGAACTTGTGCCATTTTACCAGATATATCCATGATTCCAATTTTAATGAAGTGGGCAGCCTTAGGCTTCGGATTCTCTCTTCTTCTTTCCATCTTCTCCTAAATCACTGTCTTCTGACTGGCTACTGCTCAGGACTACAAACTGTCCTTCTCCACTGCTCTGGTTGGATCTGCTGGAAGCAGCAATCAACCGGCTCTGCTCCTCCAAGTCCTAATGTGAGGAGAGGGGGTTGGGAAATCAGAACAAGAATATTCCCCTTAAAGCCATCTGGAACTGACACAAGATAGCATTATTATGATTTCTAAACTATCAATAGGATCAGGGGACAGCTTTGTACAGAAGGAATGAAAAGACTGAATAGGAAACCAAAACATTCTTTCAGTAGCTGCATTACCAGAACAGCTCCCAGGTTACCACAGCTGCACCTACAGCCCACAGGGCACAGCAGGCCAGAACAACCACCCTCATCTACACTGAGGAAGGCAATGGAGCTGGGAAGGAGCTGCAGCACAAGCCTGGTAAGAAACACCTGAGGGAACTGCGGTTGTTTAGCCTGGAGAAAAGGAGGCTCAGGTGGGACTTTATCATTCTCTACAACTGCCTGAAAGGAGGGTGAAGACCAGTCAGGTGGAGATCAGTCTCTTCTCCCAAGTAACAAGCAATACAGTAAGAGGAAATGGCCTCAAGTTGCACCATGGGAGGTTTAGATTGGATATTGGAGAACATTTCTTCACTGAAAGCACTGTCAGGCACTGGAATGGGCTGTCCAGGGCAGTGGTGGAATCACCATCCCTGGAAGAGTTTAGAAGCCATACAGATGTGGCACTGAAGGACATGGGTTGCTGGTGGCTTGGCAGTGCTGGGTTAATGGTTGGACTTGGTAATCTTAAAGATCTTTTCCAACCTTAGCGATTCTGTGATTCTTAAGCCCATTTCTTCACTGTGAGAATGAATTCTCATCAGCAAATGAAATTATTTTGGGCCTGTGATAGGTATTCCTTCAAGCACTGCTCTTAAGTATTCCTGTGAAGACATTTTGTCATTCATGTCCTCAAAGAGCTCTTTTTAAAAACTACTATAAAAAACATACAAAATCTGCACAGGAAACACTTATGATAATTGACTTCATAATGCTCAATGAACCCCTACTGAAGAGTTTGATAGTGGAGCATGGAGTACAAAACTGCAAAAGAAAGAAAATAGAAAAAAACTAATATTAAGAAATACTGATGAAACTTACCTTTTCAATTTGCTTTTGTTTATTCAGTTCTTTCTGTTGTTTCTCTTTGACTCGCTCTATTTCTTTCTGCTTTTCTGTTGCTTTTCGATCCTGAAGGGCAAAAATGTAAATAAAGTAACAACCTGAGACATTTGCTACACTACTGATTGCTATGAGCTTGCTCAAGACTGTGACATCACTGTTTTGATTATTCTTCTTTTAAAGGACTTTTAAAGGCTGTATAAGGTAGCAAACTGAATCTATACTGAACACTGTCCCACAGTAGGCATTGGTCAGTCTTTTTATTTGAGTTTAAATTCTAGGAAACAAATCCCTCAGACTACCCAACAGTATTAGTGCATCTGTAAGTATCTTGCAGAATATGTTCTATTACACATATTACACATGCCCTCTTCCTTCCATTCACAAGCAAATATAAGAGGAAAAGATTCTTACCAGTTCTGCATGAAAAGCTATCTGTTTGGCCAGTCCAACAGAGTCACAAATCTAAACACAAAACACATAGGAAGTAATAAAAAAAAGGCTAATCAAAATGCCTTTACAATTAAACCAGCATCCCAAATTAGATATAACACCACATTAAAGCACTTACAGGTACTTAACCTGAGAGGTTTAACTGTTTTTCAGTACATAAATAAACAGTCCCTCAGACAGCTTGCATGGATCTAACACCTCGGAATCCATGTCAGATTCAAAACTGATACAAGTTGTAACCATCAGCAATACCTTTTCCCCTTCATTATTTGATTCAAATATGTAGCAGATGGAAGTCTGGCGGCTCTCAGCTCTCCCTCCTGAGGTTCGGAGCACAAATCCAAACAGGCGTTTATTCTCCTGGTGTGTGGCACAGAGCACTACACTGGGCAGAGGGAACTGCCAAAGGATCAAAGGTGGAGAGATTAAAATTGGGCCCAAATATTTTCTACATGAGGTTTCCCATTAATTATCTTCAATATCATCAATGCACAATCCCAGCACAAGAAGGTACAACCCAACCAAACATGTAATGATGAAACACAAACAGTAGATGAGACAGCAAGGATTAAATACTCAGAAGACAGGCAGATTTATAAAAACACACTCCATGTAAAAAATAGGAACCACATTTGCAGTGCAAGTCAGTCATCTTTCTAAATGTCGTACACTCCTTTTTTTATTTTATTTTAATCACCAACACTAGCTACATTTGGGACTAAGCTTCCAATATTTAGTGCCAGGTAAAGGCACTACTTGCCCAAAACCTGCCAACAGCTCAGCTCCCTGAATATATAAGAAAAAAAACCAGGAAAAACAAAACCAACCAACCAAACAAAAAACCAAAACAAAACCAAAAAAAAAAAAAAAGGAAAGAAAGAAAACCCCCAAACCAAACAAACCACATTACTTTGTTATGTGAAAACTACTTTGCATCCTATTCCTAAAAGAAGGTGGACTTCAAATATATCTTTTTAACACTTACCAAAGGATAAGTTTTAAAATTCTGAAAGCCCCTACTCCAGCTGTTATAAACCAATAGGATGAGTTTTTCCTAACATTAAATGTTTGCATTTAGCACAGGGGATGTGCCCTCAAGCTGATGTATCTCACCTGTTAAAGGTTACAGCTCTGGGGCACTTTTGAACTAAATGTCACAAAGGTAAAGAAAGAAAAAAGCCCTACTTGAAATATCAGGACATTTTCATGTGCTTAAGATTTCCTTTCCTGGAAATTAAAGTCACTCAGAGCCTCCAAAAAAACGCAAAGAAATTAAATGACAGACCATAAATTGTGCATACAGAAGGGCAGGGGGAACAGTTTTGAAATATGAAAAATAAAGACTTCTATTACTGAAGAATTAAGCTGGTCTTATTTGATATCCTGAGATGAATTCCACTTATTCCTTTTAAGTGCCTTTTTATAAAGAATTAGAAAGAAAAAGAGACCAAACTAGAAACCATTCAACACCTTAAATGTAGTTATGCATTAAAACCAAAAACCCAAAACAAACCAAAACACCAGACAAACCCTTTTGGATTTTAGAACTAATGTGACTCCAACCTTTATGTTTTCTCTTTATTTTACCCTCTCAGATCACAGGGGGAAGGGGGTCTCAAAAGTAAACTGACCTAATGAAATCATTCCCCTTAAACCTCATTACCAGGTGTTTTTCTCTCTATTTTTACATGTCTGCATTAGTCTCCTAAAATCAGTGGAAATTTGGCTGGAAATGTCATGCTATCAGTGATTTTCACCGTAATAATATTTTTGAAGTAGAGGAATTACATTGCTGAGTTAATAATCTTAAAATGTAAAGTTACTTACCCGTAGTCTTGTCACTTGTGTCTGTGGATCAATTAACCTAAAAATTTGGTTTTAAAAACAAACCAGAAAGTAAATTTTACCAAAGTGAAAGAAGATCATTCTGTAAATAAACATGAACAGAAGTCAGGGAGCAAAACTTACTTTAAACAGTCACAGGTGACTAACAAATGTGACTCTGTCATCCTGAAAACGTTATGGATGGCACGAGCCGCCAGGATCTGACGCATTGTTTCATAAACAACATCTGGGCTTTCGTCAGACTTCACCTCCATGGAGCCAAGAAATCTTACAATAAATAACTGATGAAGGATTGAATCTAAGAAAAAAGAAAAGTATTGAAAAAAAAGCAAACTCCATTTTGGGTTTTCCCCTCAAAACCCAAGCTGGGCTGCACTCAGGGAAACTCCGAACTTCTCCTAAAAAGAGGAGTGCTCACACTCAGCAATTAGAGGTAGTTACCAAACAGTGTTCTAAAATTTGTGTTAAATTAGGAGAAACTAGAGCTGAAAACAGAAAATTAATTTCAAATTCTATTTTTAGTTTGCATTGAAATAAAATTGTTGTTTTACCTTCTGTTTCAGATTTTGAGCCTCCAGATTCACCAAAAGGATTTGTGCGTCTATTAAAAAATGAAAACATTGAACCAGCAGTCAGATTACAGAACCACTCATGGATAATGCAGTAGTCTCATGCTGTGACAAATACCAATGTATGATGATTTCACAAACTTGTAATTTGCAGGAATATGAATCTGGAGTATCCTGAATCACCAGGATAGGCAATTTAATCAGGAGACACATAAACAGCTGTATTTGAGGGCCCACATTATGGGACAAACACCAGATATTGTCCTATTGCTGCCATAGAAAGTTTTGCTCACATGGTATTTTCTTTTTATATTTGAATTAAGCTCAAATCAAAACCTTGTCAATATTTGGAAAGTTTTAGGGGATGACATTTCACAGACCAGCTTCAGGAAGCACAACCAAAAGCTGGTTCTTTCAGAGCTCCGTAGGAGCACCCACTTCTCCTCACTGTTTCAAGGTGCTGAATTACTTACTGAAGAGAAGTCACTGGGTTTGTTTCAAATGCAGCTTTCTGAAAACATCACTGGGGTTTTACTCCTAGAGGGTCAAGAGAAATGTGGCTATTTCTGGCTCTCAAAGACAGAACTGCCATCGGTTACAAAGAGAAGTGAAAATACTCTAGGCTTCCAAGTTTCATTTTTCAAAAGCACTGAAGTAATGCTGAAAAGGGCACAGGAAATGGGGACATTTTATTTATTGTAAAGAGGAAATCACCTTTCTCTTTGCCTAACTGGTAGCTGAAAAGCTATTGGTAAGGGCTCAGTAGACTTCAAATTAGGTTTTATCTGGGAGTAATGAAGGTGTGACCTCTCAATAGTGTTCTAACAATAAATTACAGAGCTAAAAGAAAAAAAAACTGTTCTAAATAGAACTCTGAAGGCAAGCTAGTATTGCTAAAATGAATAACATGGATTCTTTCAAGAACCATCCCATTAAATTGGCCTGGGTAAATACACTAAAGGCAAATTCTTTCTATTAGGATCTTCTACCACTCAGACTTTTCTTGTCATTTAAGGTTAAACTGCAATAGTAAATGTAAAATCTCACAGGATCTCTCAAAAGGCAAAAATAAAATAAGAATACTTGTCATCAGTATTAGAAATGAAGGAAAGTATTTTTATTTTTTTAATAATTAATATTTCTAAAGTAGCATGTTGCCTATCTGTACAAACACTGCAGTGCTTTACTGAAAGTGATGGTTAATTGAAAAAGCTGAGCACAACTCTATCATTTCTGCTACAAAACCCATGATTTTCTGGAAAGAATTGTAGCTGATGACATGAACATATAATTTTAACTTGACATTTTGTTGTTGTAGTTAAGAGCAGCTGGATCTGCAAATATGTTTTTTTAGTATCTGAATACTGCAGATACAGTTCCAGAAATGCAGTGCAGATTTAAAGGTCTTAGGTCTGTAATAAATCTCCCACTCAAAAATAATAACAAGTAGGAGAAAATGCGTTGATGTTTTGGGATGAAGTCTTAGATAATTTTAACTTGTCTCTCTATGGAATCACTCCAGAAGCCTAGATCATTTTCACTCACCTTTCAGGTTAAGAAGAGTGTCATCGTCTGCCATCATCACCTGGAGGCAGGGCTACCAAATTTCTCTTGAGTTTCCAAGAGGAAATAACCCAAGCTGCTGGGTGAGCAAGCAATAGGAAAGGAAAATATTTTGTAAAACTGAAAAATTAAAATAAATCAATAAGTAAAAGCATTGGCTGTTAAAGCAAGAAAAGCTGCTGCAAACCAGAAAACTACACCTTGACTCTAGTGCGTGCAATTAAGCCTTTTTTAACAATTCCATTTAATTAATTAAACTAATTGTTTTGCTTCACTGGCCACTGCAAATTCTGTGACATGAGTCAGGGAGAAGGCAATGTGTGTTCTGGAGCTGCAGTTTAAACATGGTTTTCTTGTTTTGAATTAGTAACAATAACTTTAGGAATTGTTTCCTTCTCTTTCCATTTCCTACCTGCCCGATTGCCCTGAAGACTTTGCTTGGCCAGGCAGATCTTCACTAACTGGAGATATGATGTCAAACTGTATGGGAGTGTCTGGGGCAACGAGTGAATCCAAGGAAAGTGCTGATAAAGCTGCTGAGTCAGATCCCAGGGAGCCTGTGCTGCTGGTACGAGCTGCAGGGGGACGGGATTGTCTACAACAAAACAGAACAGCAAAAGGAGGGTTGGTTGCTAATAAGTTAAACCACAGAGGAGACCAATGCTTAGATGTAAAACATAACAAAAACTAAAAACTTGAAGATCAGGGTAAACAAATGTTCCTATCAAATTTAAGTAAGCTAAAGTTACTACTTGCATTAATAATTGCATCAGTATGTTTTAACATCAATATATTATCAATACAATCTGAGGTCTGCTTCCAGGAGCCGAAAATTCTCATTATGAAATCACACAACAAACCAGACATAAGGTGCAAGCACCAAAGCTGTCAGCCAGTGGCATCAGGATTGCTTGGAACGATGGATGCTGAACAGTGTTAGGAAGGTGAGTGCAGGAAATTCTCCTCAAAGATTTAGTTCTGAACATAGAAAGTTCGGGGGGGGGGGTTGTCTGGGTATTTTTTTTCCCCTGGAACTTTCTCCTGGTTCTCTTTCAAGAATGTGCACTTGCAGTGCCCCCTGTTATGAACTTACCCAGCTGGCCTCATGCTCTCGTGCCTCTGCTGGAAGGAGGGAGATGGAGTGACAGCCTCCAGGGCTGACTGATTGACACGGGCAGCCATTTCCTGCAGGGCAGGGATGGGAAAAATTAACTGCAAACATTGTTCTCAAAATAAGCTTTCAGATTCTAGTTTTATTTATATGCAATTGATAGAAGTTATTAACTCCAGCCTTTGTGAGAATCTGGTATTCCTAAATTTTCACTATAGAGCTGCAATATTTTCTTCTAGCTTTTCTTGTAACACATATCCTGATGTTAACTCCCTCAAATTAAGTGAACACACTTTACAATACTGTCACTGTTAATAAAGGCAATAATGAAAATAGAGAGAAAATAGAGAAAATGAGAGAAGTCACAATAAGGCTGGAAAAAACCCCAAATGTAGCCCAGAAGAAAAAGAAAAATCTCATTTGAGAAATGCAGCCCTCAACTGCAAACTAAACCCCACGAAGATTAAAAACTATCAATTAAGAACCACATAACGGTTATTTCAGCAAATGCTGGACCATTTACAGTTGAATTCCATTTTAATCTTTCATTGAAATCACTAATTCTGATCAGTATTTAATGCTGATGCCTTCATTTCCTGGGGTAGAGCCAACAGAGAAAGCCCTTGAGAAAATGATCTTTGGAGAGAGAAAGTGCAGGAGACAACAATGAAGCAACATTTTGTGGAGTGTCTGATCAGAAAATGAGAATGGCTACGAAGCCTTTATTTTTAAAAAGAGTGTCATATACAAATATAGGATCTTGAAGATGTCAAAAGGCTACACCAAATATAAAGATCATGTATTTTTAATGCTTTCTATATAAGCATTTAGATCAATGGACTCCATGCATTAATACCATCAATAGACATGTAGGAAGTACTTGGCTTGATTCCATGCTATTAATTTTACATAATTACATCTTAACATATTACTGATAATTATAAATTTTAATAGTTACCTCAGGGTTTTCACTTAGATATATCTGTTTAGATATGTTGTTTATAGTGCATATCCACTGAAAAAGAGAAAGAAAAGAGAAAATAAATGAATTTGTCATGTTGTTTTTTTTTAACAAACTTCATTAAATGCCTGAGTTGGCTAGTTTCAGCACTTTTTCTTTGTAATTTCAGGGAGCCAAAAATTCTCCAATTACATCCAGCTTGCCATTAAATTATCTACCATCGGCATACTGCACCTCACCTTACACCTTTCTTACTTGAAAAAATTATTTTAGTCACCCTAAAGATCAAAACTAAAGAAAACCTAACTCACAACTCTAAGTAATTAAAAAAAAAAAAAAGGAATCAGGATTCTCTGTACTCCATTACTCTGTTCTGCAGGTGACATTGTTTCCTCAAGACATCATAAATCTGACTTTTTTGTGGAATTTGCCCATTTCTTGTATCTTCAAGCTAGAATCTGTTTTCTCCCTCTGCTCTGGAAAACCACTGGCTCCTGTTCCTGGCTTTTCAACTTTTCCTGAAGGAGAACACTAACTGGAATAAATGCAGTGTCCAACTGTGGTTTACAAACACATTCCTCTGCACGACAGAAACTCACTGGGCTCCGTGTGAACCTCCATGGCCTTACCTCTTCATAATCCTTTTTACTTTCTGCCTGCAAGATTGAAGACCTGAAAGGGAGAATGGAAAAACAATTCTATTTAAAATGCCTCATAAATACATTTAGCAAGGAAACCCCCATCTTATCTTTGTACACTGAACAAGTTACAAAAGGCTGAAGATTCTGTGCATGTACTGAGTGCAGTAGCATCTAACTGGGGAAGGGAGGGACCTATGCTTATATTTAATTGGAAACAGGAAAAGAACAAAGTTCTAATTGTGCCCATGTAATACTTAAGTACTCACACAGTGCAATAATACGTGATTGTAAACTGATTATTATAATCTTATTCTGAAATACCACTCAGATACATTATAGAGCTTACAAACAAAAATCCAGACTTTACCAAGTTAAAACATCTCAGATTTTGCTTCTCAATATCCACAAAATAATCAAGCTCTAATCTGGCCAGAGGCAGACCATCTTTCTTTTCTCAGTGAGTCCAGCATCACTCCCAGGTCCCAGTGTCAGACCACTCACTTTTTGCCATCGAATGACGTTATCTGGAAGCAGTACCGTCTGTCCTCACAGTCCACAGCCATCACCGAGCAGTTGTCTATGTCCATGACAAGCCCCCCAGCTACATCACCCCTGGCCTGGCTCATCAGATTTCCACCTTGGGTGAAGTAAAACTGTCTCTCCCAACTGGAAGATACCAGCCCTGTCTTACTGAAAGATAAAAAGAGGTCCAGTTAGAGGATCAGGAGCTCAGCTGAGCTGAAGTCACTTGGAATCAACCACCCCCCATTTAATGTTTTAGGTCAGTGTTACAGCTGAATTAAACCCTCTCCAACTACTGTTTTTTTCATGCTAAACCTATTGCTGGGCTAAGAATGCATAAAATAATAAGAATTGCTTTCTTAAATTATGTGAAAAAATTCAGAACAAAAAGGCTTCAGTTTTGATGATCAGCTTTCCCAGTACTGCTTTGCACAACACGCATATTCAAATTCTATGCATTGCCAATAGGACTGGTAAGACCTCTGAACTCTGCACTTACATTGCTAAGTTGTGAAGAACTTTGTGTTAAGTTCTTCAGAACTTGTGTTAAGAACCAGCTCAGTCATGTAAGATACCTCCATTTTCCAAGTATTTTGTACCATTCAACAAGATTTCCAAAATTTTGCTTAGAGCTGAGAGATGGAATCTTGTTACTTCCCCATTACAGTGCAGGGACATTACATTCTCATAAACTATTTATGTTTTGATGTGAAAATTCAGGCGAGATTAGACTAAAATGAGGATAACTATGCTTTGTATCCAAATGACACAGTGTAACAATGAGTTTAATGCTAATTAGGTGAAGAAGTCCAAAGAAAGAAACAGAACAGCTCCTATGGGACTTAATCAACTCAGACTGTAAAATCAGCATAGCTAACATCAACAAAAAAATTCTTCAGCTTTTTTAGCTTTCCTTTCCCAAAATTAAATGTTCTGGAATTTTTAAGTAGCAAGTTAGTCTTACTTTCTTGCATTGAGATAGCCAGCTTTCCGTGTCAGATTCCTGTGAACAGGAAATTTTGTAGGATCAGGATCAGGCAAATACAGTGGATCACTCGCCACTTCCAAGTCCTCTATGGTTTGTTGCATGTTTTCTACTTCACAATCCATTTCCCTGCGAACACTAAGATAAATAGATAATTTATTAATAAGTAGAAACAGAAAAAATAATTGTCTTGATAAAAGTTCAAAATTCAACAAAAGCAACTTACTTTTGTACACTCGTGCCAATATTGGTCAAAAACTCTTCCAGTTGCTCGGTAAGATTTTCTGAACCCATTTTAAAAAAGCTTATCTTTAAACGAAAAAAAAAAAAAAAAGGGAGAATTTAGTAATTAATAAATTCTGCATTAACAATTGATGAAGTCATAGGAGGTTGAAGTTTCTCGGAGAAATCTCTTTTCAACTCTCATTCCCAACAAAGCTAAATTGAGCTTAGCCATAAGAAATCTCAGACACAGGGGATGGCCCTGCCCTTCCCACTCTTAGATCCAGCACAAAGCTGCACCTGAACAACAGGTGGCACCACCTACTTTGTTGTGTTGCACAAAACGTGCAGAGCTTGGTTCTTACACATGAGCTGCAAACTCTGAAAAAGAATCAAGAGTCCTTGCCTTTGCAAAGCTTTCAGACAGGGTGAGGAGTTAATTTCTACTCAGGTCACTGTGGCAGTGCCAGATGCTGGGAAGTTTGACTTGTAAAAAAAAAAACCCATATTTGATGACATACTTCTGAAAATACAAATTAAGTCTCTCCAAAGAACTTTATCATGGTTGTATTTTGAGGACATGCACCTGTCCTCAAATAAACCAATAATGAAGTTATTTATATAAAGAAAAACAAGCCAGAATGCTTTTTAGCATTCCAGTTCTTCCACATCCCTGATTGAAAACGGCAGTGATGACTTTGGATGATGAAGTCGTTTCAGAAGAGCTGCCATGGGAATGAGTTTAACTGAGAAGGTACAATCCCATGGGGACTCTCCTGCATGGAAGTTCTAATCAGCTCTTCCCATTAGGAGAATCAAGGACACAGCAATGAAATTTAGGCAGTGTATCAAACTCAGCCAGCTGGGTTTGGGGTAGAATTAACCTTTATATTTGTCCTCCAGACTTTCCTAAAAGATTCTCTGATGGGAGTGAGGGCATATCATGATGAGACTCATGGCTAGTGCTGGCTGCAGACACTGCTCTGGAGCAGCTGTGGCAGCTTACAGGGAAGTGGATGGGGCAGGTGTTTTTCTCCATTTCCTTCCTTGGATGGCAGTACAAGATCTTGCAATGGATTTCAGTACATCAACCTTCATGAAGTACTTTTACATCTTCTTGCAGACCTACAGGTTTCAGAATCTGAAATTACCTGAGCTTGCATGTATCCTAGCAAGGGTTCCAGCAGAGAAATTTTCTTTTTGTACTGGAGAGTATTTAATGCACAGAAATAATGCATCATCGTCTGATGCTGTTTTTTCCTGGAAGTATATACATCTTCTGTAACTTCAGCCTTGATCTAGAGAGACACAGACAGGGGAGGGAAAAAAAAGGAATGTTTGAGACTTGGTGTTGATCACATACCTTCTGGACAGCTTTATAGCCAGCATGGAGAAACAACACTCATGTTCTACCCTCTATCACCAGCAACTGCATATTGTACTCTGCTTCTCTAATTGATAGATGAGATACATGAAAAACAGATACAGCATTCTTTTCTCCGTGGAAAGTATGGTTATTTCTTTTCACAAACAAATGGAACATGGCATCACAACTTTAAAGCGTTATCAGTTTTACAAGACAGATATGTGTTGGGGAAACCTGCTTTTCTGTCTAGGCTGCTAAAACATAAACTATCACAAGTCAGGTGGAATCTGCCCTACACTGTCTTGCATCATAAATATATATATAAGATGAAAATTCTTTATCTCCTCTAAAAATCTTTATATTAAGTATTTTGTTTTACAGACCTTTTCATTTTCCCTTCTCTTTGACAACCGACTGTATCTGGTAATGGCAGCATCATGGTCTGCAATGAGAGAATTTATGATCATTTTGATAAATTAATGACTTACGACACAGAGCAGAAAACCTTTTATATCACCGTGTTACACAAACAGAAAGTTCTGTCAACACCTTGAGGAATTGTTCTTGTCTGTTTACAGTCATTTCACTGCTACAAATACCTGGGCTGAGGAAAGATTCCAACCAGACATGAATGTCACCAAATGGTTACAAACTGCCCTAAACATCTATCATTCTTCCAAGACAGAAATTTTCTGTAAGCAGAGACAACTTTACATTATGAAAACCTGTATCTAATCTTTCTTGCTGCTAATGTAATGATACACTGAGAAAAGTAGAATGTTTGCTTAAATAATAAGTTCTCTACAAGGATATAGTAGAGCTAAAAAAATAGCTTCTGACAATAGGGAAGAGAACTATCCAACTCATTCTAGGGAGGTGAAGTTTGTTAATTCATCCAGTCCTGACTTCAATAAGTGAGCTAGCACCTTACTATTTTTTAGCAATTTTGGTAGCATAATCCTTTAATAATCATCTATACAGTTTACATATTGTACAAAACACTGTTAATTTGCCTTAGTACTTCAGTGCGCAAAGCAGGGATTTACAAGTGAACCAAGGATAGCTGAGTGTCACTGAAAAAATTACACCTTAATTAGTCACTTTAAGCCTACAGGCTTAACTGCACTAGTTTTCTGAATAAGCAATCTACAATAATACTGTTTTCTTGTAATACCTATAAGATTAAGTATTTTACACTTACCATTGCTTGCAATTTGGAAAACTTCTTTTAGAGTTAATATCTCTACAAAACAACATACCACAATTTTAATGAGTTGTTATTAACATAACAGTCACATATTAAGGTTTCTCAGTTCAAGTACTGAGCAGTTGTAGTTAACACCTCATAGCACACTGAGTTACCAGCACAGGCACTGTGGGGCCAGGAAAATCTGCTCCTGCTTGGGGCCTGGGTGTCATTTCTGTGGCTGGCTGGCTCCAAAAACAACACTGCACTGTAATAATGTCAGGAGGAGCTTCTTTGCAAGAGTCTGTGCAAGATGTTATCAACACACATGAGTCACCAGCCTAAGTTCTGCTTTGAGCTGGGGAAGTGAAGCACAGGAGATGGGAAGTATCCAACCCCAGAACACACTGTGATTGCTCCTCCCTGAAATGACCCACATTCCAGCTGATTATTTAGTCTCCCTGTGTCAGGGGACTGAAAGCAGCACAATATCTTAAAGCTGGACAGGAAATGCCTGTGAAGTCCAGAAAGAAGGATGGTGTCATTACACACTACACCAGCTGGTGGCAGAGAACTTCCAGTGGGAAAATTTATTCTGTGATTCTTGCCTCGGGGATGCTGCTCAGTGAGTACTGACAGGGGATTTTTCCAGGTTCTGAGGAGCAAGACTAGCCTTGGGATATTCACGATCCCTTGCTCAAAAAGCACAATCTATTTAATCTACAATTTTGCAGCAAACTACTGCCAAAGAAGTGTTTTCCAAGATTCATAAACAGTTAGAAAACTTATGGAAGACTTGAAATTTCTATTTCAATTTAGACTTAAGACATTCATATGTTGGGTATAGCCACTCTAGAATGTTCACAACAGGGATATTTAAATTATTTTGATTTTAACTCTCATAATTTGTATGTAAAGTCCCTTTGCCATACAGTGTATTCACTCCATCGTCTTGAGTAAAATCTACCATAATCACACACATACACTATTTTAAACCAGGCAGAATAAGACACAACTGCCACAAAAATCAGAAGCTGGAAGCACCTTTTGCCTGCACATGAGAAGTCACCTGTATTACCAGCAGGGTTGAAGAACTATGTCACTAATTCTTAATATAGTAAGTACTACAACCCTGGCACTGTGCCCTTTGAGTTTAGTCCAGCAATTACACTGATGTCATGGTATTAAAATATACACAAGTATTTCCTGAAAATGCAAATTATCTGAAAATTATTCTTTCCTAATGTTTTTCAGTAGCTGCAAAATGTTCATCTTGGATAGAAGATAAGTGCTTCCATAATGTAAGTAATACTCTTGTTGAAATACTAATAGTGTTAATTAAGTTCTTCAATGGTAATACTCTCATGAATAGAAATAACGAACTTTTTTTTTAAATGGGGAGATGCATACTTTGAGAGCTGAAAACAACAAAAGCTATGGAGATTAAATGCTATGTTTTATTGTTGCTGTTGATGATAAAAACCAATATTTGGTCAAGTCCCCTACCTTTTAGATCCCTTTCTTTAAACTGGGTAATAGGAAACATCATTGCATCTGCAAGCTGAGTTGAAAGAACTGCATGGCAAGAGCTGAGCTGGAAAAGACAAGAAAAAGAAGGAAATCTTAGGAAAACAATGCTCAGAGCAAATCCAGTCGTGACAGGTCGACATTGATTTCACTCCAAAATGACATGTACTTAAACCACATAACTTAAACATCATTTTGCACACTCCTTTTGTTGCAGCTAATTTTTTCTAGGTTCCAGATCTCACCACTAGCTATTTACAGAAGACTAGAGTTTAGTTTTTGTCCAAACTTTTCGAACCTTATTCCAAGTTACTAGATCACATCCAAAGATGGCCTCGTTTGTTCAGTTTATTTCTCCAGTTCCTCTCCAGCCACCTCACAGCCCACAGTTTACAGAGGTAGAACAAAATCTGTTCCTCCTCCCAAAGTGCTGTTTAAGTAGGGTTAAAAGTGAGGAGCTGGATCACAGCAAACATCCCGATTCAGCTCTTACTGGTGCTCAGCTGTCTGTCCTAAGAGTCAGCCTTTAATACAGACAGGTACCAAAATCAGGCAATACAAATACCCTCATGGAAACAGTCACCAGCTGCCACTGTGGGATGTTTTTGGCTGTATCTACAGTAAGTTGAACTCCATTCTTTCTCAGCAATGTATCCTCTTTTTGCTGAATTAATTCCTTTATCTTCAGGTTACGTGACTTTAAATAGATGCTGCAATATACAATTAAGTGTCACCTCGTTGACAAATGAATGCCATTTCTGTACCTACTGTCTTGAAAAGGGCTGGAATAATAAGTCAAATTAAAGTCTATACATGACAACATCAGCAAAGTAAATAAAAGCACTTGCCTCATCAATCACTTTTGCAAATTGCTGCAGAGTGGAAGTCATGACTTCATCATCTCCCCCGAGTGGGAAGCGCTGAGAGAAGGTAAAAAAAGTTATGCTGCTGGCAGTGTTTCCTGCCATTCACAAAACTATTCATCATGTCTATGAATATAGTAGGCATTCCATTATTTTAAAACATTATGCACTTAAAATATACTGAAGTTGTTCCCCTCCTTAGGTGGGGAAGGAGGACAGGGAGCAGCAGCCTCCTGAAAGAAGTAAATTTCTTGGCTTTAAGGTGCATCTCAGAAAAGGGGGTCCATCAGCAAAGCCATAAAAAGGGAACCCTTCAAAAGTACAGACTCCCAAGGAAGAAAGTTATTGATTCCATAGTCTCTGCTTTCAAAGCTGGAATTACTCTCCCAGAGTAAATTATGGTTGTTAACTGGGGATTGCTTTGCCATCTCTTCTCTTTGTGACTGGTAAAATAAAGCACCTAACAGTAAACAGGTTTATAAAATAAAACCAAAACAGAACCACCCTAAGCAACCCCCAAAACACTGAACCAAAAGTAAAATATTTCAGAACTTACTAATATTCTTCATGGTAAGAGGAATTAATTCTGGTTTAATTGGAAGAACTAATATAAAGATGGGAGATTCTTTTGGCAAAGGTTTGAACCACCAACCACAGCAGCTCATTTTATATGGACCAAACCTAAACACACTCTAAACTGTGCTCTGGGAGATAAAAGACTACAAAAATACACAGTCCTGACCACACAAAGACAACAGGGATTTACACAGTACCTGTTTCTCATATTCCTTCAGAAGCTTTGAAGTCAGATGAGTTGCTGCACTTAACTCATTCTGATGAAAAAAAGGCAAAAAAGTAAAATCAGTAAAAAAGGACAAGCAGTTCAAGTATATACAAATTAAAAATACAGCCATAAACTCAATTGTTCAGAAAACCACACAAAATAGATTCCATCTTTGGCATAAAAGTGCAGTTACTTATAGATAATGAGTGAAACATGAATATATTGTTGGTAAAAAATCTCCCACTTGGGACATACTATTATATACACCAAGATCATTCAGTGTGTATAACATTTTAGAAACACTCGGGAAATACAACAGAACTACTTGATGAGAAAACCTTTTTATTGTCACAAGAAATTCTATTGCAAAACAAAGCACAAGAATTTAGTCTTTACCACTCCCTTACAAAAAAACAATAATTAATTCTTACTTTATTTCACTTCTACATTTAAAGAATGTGGAAATTAAAATGACCCCTATCGCTTACAATAATTTGAAAAAAAGCAAGAGACATGAAATGTGGTTCAAAAGCTTTATAATGCATTCAAGAATTTCATGAACTCTACCTGTGCATCATATATTCTGTGCATGGCTTGAAATAACTGATTGATGTAATTGGATATTGCAGCAGCATCTTCTTCAAACACTCCCAGCAGAGAACGGGTCTGTAACAATCAAAGAGCCAAAACATCAACATGGCAGGTTAGAAAAGCAGCATTTAAATGGAATGGAATTTCAAAGTTAAAGAGCATTGCTTCAGGTTTCATTAATGAAAAGTTTATAAACCCTCCAACACTGTTTACAGGAGTGATACCTGTTGCATGCCAAAGAACCTCATCCAAGCTCAGCCTCTCCAGGTTAACGCACTTTCAGAGAGGAAAGGACCAAGGGAAAAGAACAACTGTGTTAAAAAGCTGAAACTGTGGGCAACTCCTGGGACCACTGTGGTACATCCCTAAGGAAAAGGGTAAAGATGAGTGGTATAAACAGCCTGCCAGGAATACACGTTTTTTCTGCAGTGAGATCCAGATAAAGGCTGTGCTCTTCCCATACCGTCCAACCTGCAGGAAGACAGTTGCTGGCTGTGCTTGGACCTGTCACTCACCTGGGCAATAACCACCCAAAAGGTTGAGGAACTAAACACCAAACCAAACAATACAACCTACATCTGGTTGTCCTCAAGACAAGTGTTTTCACCACTGAAAGGGAGTAAAAAGATCTTTCCTTTTGTCCTTGGCCCAGCTTGTCAGTCTGTCTGTTCCTTGGCTGGTGTCACCCCCAGGCCTGATGACTCTGTGTTCTATCGCACTGCCCACATCACTGATGAGGGTGCTTAACAGCATCCACCTCAAAAATCAACCTCACTGTCCACCTATTAGACATCCAAACACGATCTCTATCCGTGAGCCCACCTATTCAGCCAGTTTTCCCACTCAGGTCAGTCCAAACCTCTCCCTTTGGCCAGAAGAACGTTACCAGAGAGAGTGTCAGAGTCCTTGTGCAAGCCGAGTGACACCCCCTGCTCTCCCTGTGCTGGAATGACTGACTCGGGATGAGCAGGCAATCAGGTCACTCAGGTATAATTTGCCCTTTAAGCTTAAATGAGATGCTGACTCGGTGTTCTTGCATCCTTTTTGCACTTGGAAGCAAAGTTACTCCTCAGCATGAGGGTATCGAATGGCTTCCTTCCCCCAGGGCAGAAACCCCAGAGGGGGAAGAGCAGAGGATGTGCCTGGAACCCTGCACAGGCTCCACTGGCTTCTCCTCATCTAAACACTGGTTGGGATGCTTGGATGTAGAAACAGGAGTATTGCTGGCCTAAGCCACAATAGAAACACTTCAGAAATGTTTTAGCAAAAGGACTGTGCTTTGGTTTTAGGTTTACACTAAAATCGATGCCCAGACAGAAAACTGAAAGAATCCTAAGTACATAATTGGGGGGTTTTCCCAAATTATGGTTGTTAAACACTTGAAATTGGAAATTCTCTTAGTCTTCCCTAGGCTGAATAATTGTGGTTTCCTCAAAGAGGAAGGAATTAATGGGCCCTGAGTAAAGAATAAAAGAGATCTAAATACCAAAAATATAAACAAAGATCATAACACAATAAATTAATGCTGGTTCTAGCTTATAAAACAAGTGGAAAGAGGAGACAGAGGAGGAAAGAGGTGGAGGAGAACTCAAATCTTTGCCAGGTGTGGCAACATGTGTCATCCTAATAGCCATGACTCTCCCATTAGAGGAGACAGACACGAAAGAATGCAAAGGAAAAAATTACATGGTACTATAACCACTGAATTATATACTCATGAACTTTAAAGCTGGCCATAAATAAACCTGAACTTGTAATTTTAAAGGAGTATCATGTCAGGTTTCTGGATTAGACTGACTCTTTAAAACCAAACACCGAAGAAAATTGCTTTTCTATGTTTTTTATGTTAAAAAACTGGCATTGTATGATACTGATAGAAAGAAATTAACCTGAAACTATGAACAAATTATAGCAGATTACTGCTTAGAAGAAAATTAGAGGAATTGTTCACTCATGGTTCTAGTAAAACTTTGCGTTGTTTTGCATGTTCTTTAGGATGCTTTCAACCTGTGTATATGAGCAGGGGAGCAGGAGAGCACCAGTGAGAAGCTGCACAAAGAAACCACTTGGTTAGAAGTCAGTGAACTGTGAAGGCTGCTCTGCCATGCTATGAACTGCTCCCAGGTGATGCTGCAAGAGCCTCTGCTATCCAGTCTCTTGGCTTTTTGTTGTGCAATGCTTTGGGAATGCAAATCAGTCTGAGCAGAAACTCTCCCTAAATATACAGAGTGTGTGTGTAATATATGTCCTGAGTTAATACTGAAATGACTCTGCTTTGCATAGCAAAAGACTGTGTAAACTTGGCATTTGTTTTAGGCCTGACAACACAGTGGTCAGATTTTTATCCTGTGACAGCAGGAAGTGAATAGGGTTTGAAATTTTAGAGAAGCCCTTCCTTCCCTCAGACACAGAATGAGTTTGACGTTTGTTTATACACCTACAGTTGGTGTCTGGAACGTGTCTAAGCTCCAGGCCACAGTTCAGCACTAAACAATGACCTGGGCTGATGAGCTTTCTCATTATCACAGTAAGAATACATCAGCCTGGCAACTCCTCAAGAAGAGAGTTCTGTTTCTTCAAGCAACATTTGTTGCCATTTCTACTGCACTGATTTCAAATGAACAGGAATTAGGTAAATTAACAGAAATGGACTAATGTAACAGAAAGCCATAGAATCTTTGTTATGTTCTTCCAAGACACGATTGCCAGAATTCACCTGAAATAGAAAATGATATTGGCAAATCCAATTGTTTAAGCACATCAAACTCACTGGGCTGAATTAGGCTCTGCTAGCCTGTGTCACAAATACCCTCAAAAGACTCCAGAATTTACAATTATGTTCCAATAAGGAACCTTTTTTGCATGTGCTTCCCAAATGTCCTCACATGATCCTAAGTTTATCTGACATTTGGCATTTCCTATAAATATGAATAGTTCTGACTTCCTTAAACTGCGAAAAGACCTTCAAGAGATACTTTTTAATAAAATCACTATTACTATAACCCTTTGAAAATTTTTCCTCTTCATGAGATGACACCAGGTTATACCCTGGGCCAGAGGCCCCCTGGCAGGCCAGATTTCATCTCACATGGAGTATTTGAGCTATTTGGGGCACTGTGGTTCAGAAAGCAACGATTCTCTCAGTGCATGGCCTTCTAGTGCCTTCTCCAAGTCGTTCCTCCCCTTGGTTTAGAACTGTTAAAGTGATTGTCATTTTAGAGGGTTAATATTCCCTCATAAGCAAGTTCTTCTTCCTACGGCCAAGGAATCAAAGCTACCAACACAGATGCTGTTACAATACAGGACGTCTCACTCACTACACAAACTGTGCATCAGAACAAGGATCTTAATTTAAAAGGCTGCAATAAAGGAAAATACACTGCAAACTTTTTTCCCCCCCATCTAGGAAGAGCAGTTGCTGTTGTTGCTGCCAGCGAGAGAAACCCGTGCCATGGAATAAAGCCTTTCCTGCTTTAGAGAGAAATGCCACCGCACTACAGGGCATCTCTGACAAAGGTCAGGCACAGCAATGGCAGGGAAGGATCGGAGCAATTAAAGGCCTTTGGGCTCCATGTGCTTCCCCCCTACTGTCAGCACAAACCACGGCCGCGACAACATCACCCAACACCTCCTTTTCACAGGGATCTATTAAACCTTAACGCGGTTTTAGCAGAAGATAAAGATAAGACAAATCGCCTTGAGAAGCGAAGACGGGATTTTGTCATCACGAGGTGTCCAAAATCACTGCCGAGCGCGAAGGCGGGGGCGGGGAGGTCCGGGGGCCGATGCGGGCGATGCTGGAGCACAGACAGTGCCCGGCCCATCCCCGGCCCGCCGGACACCAGCGGAGCACGGCCGGGACGGGCAGGACGAGCCCAGACCGCGGCCCGAGCCCCAGCACCGGGAGGCACCGGCCGTGCGGGAGCGTCTCCCGCGCCCGTCCCTCTGTCCGTCCGTCCGGGGCTCGCCGGGGGCCGGTAGCGCCGGGGCAGCAGCGCTGGGCCCGGGGCGCAGGGGCCGGGCCCGATCCGACCCCCGGCGCGCCCGTCTCACCTGCGGGCTGTCCTCCAGCGTCTCCTCGATGGGCAGTTTGTCGATGCCGGGCATGGCGGCGGCCGGGCCAGGCCGAGGCTCCGCTGCCGCTGCCGCTCCGCTCCCCCCGCGGGCCCGCCCGGACCCGCCACGGCACCGCCGCCCCCGCCCCGCGCGCCGGACGTCCCGCCCCCTGCTCGCCCGCTTGGCCTGCCCATTGGTCCTCCCTCCCGGCCTGCCCGCTCCTTATTGGCGGGCGGGGCCGCCTGTCCGCCCGTGCGCGCGGGGGGACGCGCTGGGGCTGCCGCCCTCGCGCGCGGCTCCTCAGGCTGTGCCGGGCTGAGGGACGGGGGGCTCGGGAGCGGCTCCGGGACCGGGGCCGGCTGGGGACGTGGCCCCGCTGGGGACGTGGCCCCGCTGAGGTGACCGCCCGGCCGTGCGTGTCAGGGGCTGAAGCGAAGGTGCCCTCCCACCGTGTGTGCGGTCTGGCGGCCGCTGCTCTCTGCTCACGGACACTCGGCCCAGGGCCGACCCCCAGCGCGGTAACGCCGCTGTGCCCCTGCCGCGATGGAGCGTCTTTGGCGCTCGTTCCGTATTACCTGGAGCATCCCTGCTGGGAAGTCCCCTCTTATCCCTGCCGTGTGGGGGGGTTCGGGTGCGGGCCGGTCTCTCGTACCGTGCCTGCAGTGAGGGGAGCAGAGGAAAGGGTACTGAACTGAGACGGGGGAGGTTCAGATTAGATATTAGAAAAAAAATTTCACTGTGGTGGTGCTGGGCGGGCTGTTAGACTGGATGATCTTAAAGGTCTCTTTCAGTCTTGGTGATTTGATAGTTCTGTGTATCTCTCCGCCTCTTGAAGAAGTATTTCTGTCCCTATCAAGCTAGTAAGTTTTGTTGGATAGCTTCTCCTGAGGACCTGTTGTTCCTGCTTGTGTCTTAAAAAAAAATCCCCAAAACCATTGCTGAGTACTGAGTTTTCCCCTTCAGAAGCAAGAGTTCAGTTCTAGTGGGCTCCTTGCTCTCTTAGACTGGATGAGTTTGGTGCTATAGGTTGGTGGTCAATTTTAAATGCTTAAAAACTATTGTGAGGGCTCCCTGGAGTTGAACCAGATCATTGGTTGAACTTGCAAACTGGTTCAACTCTGAAATTACTTAGAGTCATGGAACTGTAGAATTGCTAAGGTTGGAAAAGACCCCTAAGATCCAGTCCAACATAAACCAGCACCACTGTGTTCACCACCAACCCCTGGCTCCAGCTGCCACATCCAAACGTCTTTTTAACACTTCCAGGGATGGTGATCCCACCACTTCCCTGGGCAGCCTGTGCCAACCTAAACTTCTGCACAACTCGAGGCCATTTCCTCTTGGCCTATTGCTTGTTACCCAGGAAAAGATCCCAACTCCTACCTCGCTACAACCTCCTTTCAGCTAGTTAGAGAGCAAGACTTGATAGACATGATTATAATTTTTAGATATATTTATTATTACAGCTGGGGAAAAAAAAAACAGAACAGGGCTGTTCCCTTGATGGTTTTGCCTTTTGGGGATCAGGGGAACTTAGTATAAAACCAGATTAGAAAATGCATGAAGTGCTTTCGGCAGAGCAAATGATTAACAACTGTGCGGTTTGGAGACCTTTCTTTATGTTGTATCAGATTATGGTTTACCTTTAAAAGCAAATAAAGGAAAAGGCTGGTATTAAATTACAAAAAACTAAAGATTTTTGAGGTAAGTTTTTTGTTTACTTGATAGTTTGGGTTTTTTTGCTGGGGAGTGTTTTGTTTGGTTTGGGGGTTTTTTGTTTGTTTGTTTCCTGTAGGGAGTGGGGAAGAAATTTCCAAGTTACTGCTCTGTTCAGTCAATTCATTTACCAGCTCAGCTGTGACTCACCTGACCAAAGCAAGTCATACCACCTCTTTTTTTCCTTGTCAGATGAGGGTAATAATTCAGAGTTATCTTACAAGGTACTGTGAAGACTAAGTCTTGTATGTGTAATTATGTGACAGAGCATTGGCCCGTGACCTGCTTTCTGGTGTTAAAATCAGTGAACTTGTGCCTGAGTTTTACAGCAGTCTCCTGTAAGAAACACCTCTGTTTTGTGCTCTAAGATGCATTTCCCCAGTAGAATTCAAGAAGGTAGCCACTTTAAATGGAATTGGGTTTAGTTAGCTTTGTGTATTTGCAGCTGTGAGTGGCAGAGAAAAAAAAATAACATTTCTTAGCTGCTATCAGTGGAGAACAGCTCTTTGAGAATTAAATGTTTTGTGGAAGAAAAAACAATGCTCTCACAAACATGCCCTTTAATATGCAGAAATGTGCTTTATTATCCCTGCTGGCATGTAGCATAGAAATGTGTCTTGTTTCTGTTGACCTTAGTAATTCAGTTTAATGATTTGGTTTACTGGGTGGCCTTTCTAATAATTCTCAAGTGTACCAGGGCTTCCCAGCTTTTTTAATATGTCCTTTATGCTGACACATTCTGTGTGTTACTTGTCTTGTCCTTACCTTTTGTGCGTGTTTTTACAAATGCTACAAATTTGACACCATCAGATGACATCTGATAATAATGAATTGAAGAATCCCTCTGAATCCTTTAATAAGTATGTTTTTAGTGTTACACTGTTTTCAGCATTTTAGGCTTTTTCTTATTGTACGGTTTATGTTGGGATTTGGGTTTTTTGATTTGTGGGACTGGTGGGGTTTTTTTGTTCTTTCTGCAAAATATCTGCTAAGAGGCCCTAAAAATAAGAGGAACCAACACTTGGCACTATATAAACAGGGAGAAGAGCAGCCAACAGCTCTTTAGAGTATTCCAGATGTGTTCCCTCATGGAGAGAACATTTTGCCTCTGCTGGAGCGTGAGAGGAGCTGTGTGGATAAGGTAGGCTTTATCTGCATGTCTAACACACTGTTTCTCAGTCTTTTGCTAGTGGCACCCTTGGATTTACCTTGAATTTATCTGTCTTCACTTAATCTCCTTGAATCAAAAAAAGCTTTTTGGCTTCAGCCAAAAAAATAGCTACCTCTTTTTGATCGTGTTTTGTGAAAATTGGTGTTACCATATTTGCTTAAAAAAGGCCTTTGACTTGTGAAGCTGCTGCTGACTTTAATGTGTGTTGTCATGTTCAAAACATGTTTGAAAGGGAGCTTTACACAGCACAGCTTCTGAGGTGGCAAAACACTCAAGCAGTGGGGTAAAGAAGCTATGGGAAAGGTGAGATGAAAGACAAATGTTTGGAGTGTGATAAGTAATCAAGGAAGGTTATATATGCCGTTTATACCTTTTCAGAAAGCTGAAAAGTGTTGACCAGTGAAAGGTGACCCGGCAGGTGAGTAGCAATGGGTGAGAAGAGCAAAAGGCAGCAAGGGCAAGGACTGGGGTTTCAGACCAAAGCCCCCAAGAGCTCTCGGGGTGGTCTCTTGAGCTGCTGCAAAGAGCCCTTAGAGGCATCACATCTCTAAAGAACAAGAGCTTCATCTACTAAACAGATGAACTCCGCTGTCCCTGGGCAAAAAACAGTGGTGCAAAGTCTGAAAGGGAGATTAGTTTGCTGCCTCATCAAGAATGGGATGCTGTAAGAGGATTGGATTTGCATATCCAAGGAGCAGTGAGTTCTCCTATAATTGATTACTTAGGATTCTCAACTGAATGTTTGTTGTGTTGCTCTAATTGCCCCTACAAAGGTACTTAGCTAAAAGTCTATAGGTAATTTCACATGGGCTGCAAGGCAAGTACTGATAATCTCTCATGGGCCAAAATACCAAAATACAGTTTTGAAGTGAAGGCTCAAGGTCTATTTACACTTTTAGTGGGAATTCCTAGAAATGTAATCTGTAATACCAATATTGAATCTAAAGCCTGAAGTATTCTGTCCTGTGGAAAGTGTATCTTCGTCCTGATTTCTTACAAAAGGGCCTGTTGACTGTTTATCTTGATAACAAATAGTTTTATTCTACAGCTCAGCAAACTTCTCTTCAAAGAAACCCAGAACTCTTGAATGAGAGACCTGCAGCCAGACTTTCCAGTGGCTTCATCTCTACATATGTGTTGTTTAAGAATCCTAGAATGGTTTGAGTTGGGAGGACCCTTTAAAGGTCATTCAGTTCCAATGCCTTTTGGGACTTTTTTCACTGGATAAGGTCACTCAACACCCCATCCAGTCTGGCCAGAGGTTGCCTGGTTGGGCACAGCTGGACTGGCACTTAAAGGGCTGTAATGCCTTCGCTTAACTCTCCTTCCCAGTGACCTCCAGCTCTCCAACTCCTCCAGCAAGCTGTGGTTTCATACCCAGGTCCTTCTGGCTTCCCTGTAAATCTACCCCTGTGGTTGCCAGGCTGCTGTATGGTGGCTGCAGCTCAGCTTGCAGGTGGTCACTGCAGGTGGATCGATGCCCCCTCACGATCCACTGGTGTGCGCTGAGAAGTGCCCTTGGTGAGATCACTCCTCATATTGTCACTTTTGAATACTCTGGTTTGACAGCAGGCTTATTGCACAACATGAAGCCAGGCCAGCCAGAGGGGGGGAACTTTTGCATCCTGAAATCAAAATATAGTTTTCATTTTTGCGTGTGATAAAATAAAGCTTTGCCCAAAATAAGAAAAGGAGGAATTTCTACGGAGAGGTTGTCCTGAATCAAAAGCTGGTTTTGAGCATGTGCCATGTAAATTGTGTGGCTGATGGATGAGCCTGAATATGAAAATGTGACAGTCGGTACTTTCTTTACAATGGATGAGATCAGAATTCTGTTTGCAGACTTTGAGCCTCATTACAAAGCCTTTATTTCCTTTCCACTCATTACTCATATATTTTTTTGTAATTTTAACTGTTTGCTCTGTAATATTTAAATATACTTCTATTGGCAATAGACCTACAGGAAGGGAGGGACATCTAGCAGAAAAAGGGTGTTTTTAAACCAGTGATTTTGAATGTACTGCTTCCTTTACTTTAAGTTTTGCTTTTATGGTGCGAAGAATTATCAGGAAATGTCACATCTGGTATGTTTCAGAAAAGCTGCAACAAAGTTATTTTAATAAGGAAAATGAATGCATGAATTATTTAAAATAGTTGGTGCAACTGTTCCTATTAACTAATCCAGGCACTTGGAAGGCAATTACACTGAGCTTTGACAACATTGCCAACCCACTGCACAGTGCCTTATGCCAAAAGCTATTGTTGTTTTATTGACCACGTTCACCATTACATATGCATATGAAAAAACAGAGGCATTTTCATCGGGATTACCCTAATAGCATTAAGAGATTATTTTTTAAATTTCCTTGGAAGGAAATTCACTTAAATGAGATTACTTATTACTTGACTGGTTTCCTATCATGCTGCTACGTTTAGGTAAGTGGAGTCCATTAGAGTATAAAGTTTTTTAAAAAACTGATTTTATACATTAATGATTTCAAATAAAAGACAAGTACTATATTTGTGCACAGCTTCTTTTGAGAAAGTTAAGTCGATGCTCTGGTTAGGAGAGATAACACTTTTTGTCCCCCTTGGTGGCCCCCCTAGTGTCACCATTAGTTGCTAATTACTTGCAAACAAATAAACAATTAACTCCTCGTGCCTCTTGGTGGGAGAGTTTTCATTGACATGCTAAAACTTTCTAATAAAAGATTTTAATTAATGACGTTGCAAATCCAACCCCCTTGTCAACACAGCTATAAGGACTTGTGGAGAAATGCGAGTGCAGCGTCCCTGCGATGCTGGCCGAGGGGGAGAGCATGGCCGGGCCATCGCTGTGTGCTGCCACCGCAGCGGCAGCGCCTCAGAACCTCCACACAGTGTCCGGCTTCGTAGGAAATAAAGCCACCCAGTGCTCGTTTTCAATCGAAAGTATTTTGGGACTGGAGCAGAAAAAAGAGGGCATTCCAGCTGTGAAACCTCACAGACCCTGGATGGATGCGTGCACCAGCTTGGGTAAGTCAGGCTGGTTTGTAACCTCTCAGGCTCTCACTCTAAAAATATTTGCGTGTTTATGTTGGAAACCAGTAAATTGAAGCTCTCCTTTGCTTGCTTTTTCTAGTTTTAGGTGATGACAGTAATCCCCATCTGCAAATCCCTGTTGTTTGCTATGAAAATCCATTATTTCATGCTAACAGTGATCCAGTGCAAGAGGAAAAAGTTTGGAAATGTGAAAAATATTTTTCAGTCACTGAAAGACTGTCTTTCAAACGGGAACTGAGCTGGTACAGGGGTAGAAGACCAAGAACTGCATTCACTAGAAACCAGGTAGGGCTTTTCCCAGTGTTTACCAAAAGAGCAACAATGGAGTTCAGTGAAATGTTGGTAGAACCTTGAAACAGCTGACTAATGCAGTGTGAGGTACCTCTGCAGAGAGAAGTTCGATCAGGAACTAGTGTAAATTAGCAGGAATGTTGCTAATTCCAGCAGACCTGTGTTTATGCAAACCCTGCTTGGAAGTCTCCTGTTGAACAAACTAAAGCTGTTTTTCTGTGTTTATTTTCTGTGTTACTGCTATGAAAGTGGTGATAACTATTCAACAAGTGTGTTTTAAACTCCTCAGATTGAAGTCTTGGAAAACGTTTTTAAAATGAACTCGTACCCTGGCATTGATATTAGAGAAGAGCTAGCTCGCAAATTAGACTTAGATGAAGACAGGATCCAGGTAATTAAAAATTTATTTGATCTTTTCTGTAATTCCATTTATATGAACTTTCTGGTTATATAAATAAGTAGTTTGACAGCAGTAGCAACAATGTTGATAAGCTCAGTGTAAATCAATGTACATATATGTAATGTGCCCTCAATGATTTGTGAAATAGAAGCCATTTAATTCCTTCTGAAATCTAAAACCTTATTGCATAGCATTGGTGAGGCAATAATCACTATAACACTCCCATGATATCTGCTCTGTTAATCTCTAGTTATCATGTACAGAACTTGATCATTTACTTCCATGTTTGAAAATCATGTTTATATTAATGCTTCTCACCTTATTTGAAAAACAAATATGGAACAGATATTGAAATAATTTGTTTGACTGTCTAAGTATGAGATGTCAGTAGAGCACAGATTTGTTAAATCAGTGTTTGAACCTCTGTCTTCATCTGACTTAAAGCAAGGTCTGCTCAGGGATATTGCCTATTGATTTCCACGTAGCCCAATATGATAAGAATATTGTAAACATTAGAATTTGGGCTACACCTTGATGTTTATCAAGCTTTTGATGCAAGTATTATATTGGGGTTGATTGGAAACTTGATGTTGCAACTAAAGACGGAATTCCAGATGTTTGAGGTCCTGTCACTGAAATTAATATCAGTTTTTACCTGAATTGCACTGAAGCTGCTCCTCACTCTGCAGTTAAGCTGGGGGTATTATTTTCTTTGTGTGTGCTCTCAGAATTACAGCCAGGAGCTGCATGCCATCATCTGCAACTTTGAAATTTGTACTGAACTTCCAAAGAGCTGTCATCACACAAAATATTGTAAATGCTGTGTGAATATGTTTGTTTCAAGTATTATTCTGCTTCCTGTGCTTTCTGAAAACCCTGCCTTCTCTTTTCCTTTTAGATCTGGTTCCAGAACCGTCGTGCAAAGCTGAAAAGATCACACAGAGAATCTCAGTTTCTAATGGTGAAAAACACATTCACCTCCAGCCTGTTAGAGTAGAAAGAAGGATGGTTTGGTGTCATAGTACTATAGCAGAGCACGAAGAATTATTAATATCCTGTATTAAGTAATTATATAGTAATTATGATTTTATGCTCAGATTTGAAAGTTTATTATAATTTTCATTCAAATAAACTGTAAATATTCGAAGTATTATTACAATCTACTTTTTGTGGAAAAAGGGAACTATTCCTATATATTTGAATAAGTGTTTTCAAGGAAGTTTAGATATTTTTGCAGTTTAAAGAAATATAAACCCTAGGTTGTACGAGATTTTCAGCTACTGTGAATTACTACAGCTTAGCTGGAGATGATTTGACAAAACTTGAAGGTTTTAGAAAAAGTCTGTCTAGAGTATGAAATACACAAAATGCAAAATAGATTTTGCTGCCAGAAAGAGACTTTGTGTTACTCTGGAGTTTAAACAGCTTATTTATAAAGAATATGATTTTTTCTAAAAATTACGTTCTTAGGAAAACTGTCTCAAATGGAATGGGTAATATTCAACTGACTGTTTAGTTTGAACAATTGCCCAGTTAAAAGAAGCTGAAAATTTTAATCTTTATATATAAAATTTTAATTAATTTAGGGTATTTGCCTGTTTAATACTTCAACGTGGATATCTCCTCTCTTGTCAGTGTAAGTGTTCCAGTTATGGAAGTTGCCCTATTATCTTTTAATGGCAGAATGTAGCATTTCACAGGATCAAATCAGTTGGGACCAGACCAGATATCCACATCATTGCCATTAATTTTAGGGTGTGGGATTCATTTTTATCAAACATTACATGCAAGTTAATTATCCTCATATTTGATATTCAGCCTGAAGTCAAGGAGAGCCTTATACACATAAAACAAACCCACCCCACTGAAGTGCTGAGGTCCTTCAGTGAGGCTTCAGCCTGTATTTCTTACTAGACATAAATCCTGCCTAAATCAATAAATTCTATCATGAACAGACACAGTACTGCCCTTCCTTTCTCCATGCTTTTATCCCTGATACCTGCTGTCTTACAGAATGAAAGGTAAGTTTGAGAAAATGGGACAATGGAAGAAAGATCATTTTGTGTAATCTCATACTAGGAAAAGCTAAAGGGAAGGATGATCTGCCTTCAGCCTGTCCTTAGCATTTTGGATGATAGGTTGAGCTATGGGAGTTTAAATAAAAACATTCCTATGTTTTATGAAAAAATATTGCTGAAAAGATGCATCTACTTTAGAACAGGTGGTGGCCATTATATGTCTAACTTCACTGGCTCATTGCCTTCATTTTTTTAATATAGAATCCTTAAAATCTTGAACTGTTTGCATTTCTCTGGGAAATCTTAATGTGAAAATAGCAAACTTTTATCCAATGTTGAAATGTTAATTTTCTGTGTTTTGTTGGATTTGAGAAACAACATTCCTAACTGAACTTCTGTTGTAGCCTACATTCCAAAATATTTAAGAGAACACTCACAAATAAAGCAACCATATGAGCCAAACCCATTAGGAATAGTTTTTAGAGAAACTGAAATATCAGTTCAGATACCTACCTGGTCTGGTGAAGCCAATATCGGGAATGCAATTGGGAATGCTGTTTTGTTTTCCTTCACACCTCAAAACATGTATTGCCCATACCTTAACCTCATTGCAGGTAATCTGAAACTATTGTCTGCTTTACTGCTGGAAACCTTGTTAGATTAGACTAATCTGTACAGATTGATGCCTAAGAACCTCACTCTGTTATCTGGCAAACACCTCAATACACCTGATGTCTCCAATAATGGAACTGGTCTCAAGTGACAGGAACTCTGACAAAGGAATTGAAGAGAAGGAGTAGAATAGTGGCAGAATAATTTTAGCAGCAGCCCCGGTATCCAGCTCTCAATTAGCAAATGTTACCAGCAGGGTGTCTGGTTGGTGTGAACCACTGAGGGTGTCCCACATAGCGCTGGGGGGCACAAAGTTTAAACGTGTCGCTGCATTATTTGCTTCCTCCTGGCTTAGGTTGTTCTTCCCAGAGTAAAGGCATTGGCAAATCAAAGGAGAAGTTTTAACTTTACATTTCTGCTTACAAAGTGGAAATGACCATTGTGTGAGGGAATGCTGGGGCTGCACAGCCTCTTGGGGGGTGTCAGGATCCCAGCTGATTGCATTACAAGGGGAGTTCATGTGGTCAGACAGGATTGTTGGTGAGGGAGGGGAATCCAGGGCTGCTAAAGAGCCTTCAGTTCTAGATTCCGTTGTGGGGAAACAGTGCTTTGACTTGTGTGACTTGAGGGGAAATGGTAAGACAGAAAACGTGGAAGACTGGTCTTTTTATTTTGAGCACCCAAAGCTTGTACAGGTGGGGCCAGCAGTATTTTCAGTAGAATCCCAGGAAGTGTGAAGTGCTGTGTTAGCACAGCACTGCAGCTTTGCATTCTTAGATTGACAAGAAAATTGGAACACCACTCACATGTTTGTGGAGTTTAGAAGAAGCAATAAACGTGATTTCTTCTCACATTTGTTTTTTGCAGGACGCTGTTTATTAAGCAATGAGGTAAGAACATGATCAGAAATGCTCAGGGATCCACAGCTTTGGTGTAGCTGTGGTTTAATTGCCAGTGACTTCCATATCCCTAGGTATGTTGTAGATTGGATCATATGGGTGTGCTGGGGGGTGGTGTTAGAGTGACAGTAAGTAATGCATTGCCTGTGCCTTAAGAAGAAAAAGACAAAAGAAGGAACAAAAAAGCAATGAAAGATTGGACTTGCAGGTGTGTTTTGGTCTGTGTTGTAAATTGGTGGGTGTAAAGTCCAGTGCCTGGAGCAAAGAGAACGTCTGTGGATTCACACAGGCACCAGTAATGCTTTTCACATCCATTTTCAAGCAGAGTCCTTTGGTTCGGGATGTTGGAAGGATCTGTTGTGTGTAAAGGTAAAACTGATAACAATACCTAGATTTAAAGGGAAATGAATATTCCCTCTTTTTGGATTTATGTTCCAGTGTTTTTCCTTCCCCAGCCCCTAAACCAGTTTTCCTCTGCCACTGTGGTGGCTTGAGAAGCCAGGGAGTATAGTCTGTCACTCTTTTCCTTGATCTTGTGCAATTTGGAGCAAAAAAGGACAAAAGTTAGCAGGTGGTATAAGATAGTCCTCTTCATTAAAAATTATCTATGTTATTAGTCTTGTTATTAATCAGTATAAAATTTTGTGAATTTGCCATTTTTAAATTGCATATGTTTCAAACTCATTATCTCATTGTGACCTTTAAAAAAACCCCTCCATAACCTTGCACCAACTCAATTATTGTACCTTTTTTTTTCTTCTAATCCTTTCTTGCTCTTTTAGCACTGAATTTTTATTTTACCTCTCCGTGTCATTCATTTTACTCCTTGTAAGGTTTTAAATGTCTGTCCACGATTTCTAGATTCCATGGCAGTCTTTTGTCTGTGTATAACAAAAAAAAAGTTTTATATATTAAATGAAAATGAATATATATCTTTTATTGATAGATTTCGAACTTTTAATTTCTGGAATTGTATTGCACGTACCATAATAATACTCCAAAATACCTTGGGATTCAGTTTCTATGAGCGATGCCGTATTAAGGACATTAAGAAGACATCAGATGAAGTATTCTGCAGTAACGATTCTTGGCTATTTATTTTGCTTTTTCATATAAAATCAGGCTTTCAAGTCATAAATTTTGAAACAGTTTGTAGTTGAACTGCCTATGAAAGTGCTGGGCTGCTTCTGCCCTCTGCTGGTTGGAGTTACTATTTACAGTTCTGCATCTTCATGGGATTTAATCCGGCATTCCCGAGCCGGGCTGTGGGCACGGCAGGACCTTCCCACGGGGAATCACTGCCCCTTTGAACTGGACAGACTCGGTGTCTGAATTTATTCCACCTGCACACACGTGCTTCAGGTCAGGCTGATTGGCAAAATCTCCGAGTGGTCAATAATGAACAGAACACAGTGAAAATCAGTGGGTGCTTAATATTTTTGATAGTCTGAACAGCCAGGTTTTTAAAATCTTGCCTCGACTATTTCTAAATGGACTCGATCTTAGAGGTCTTTTCCAACCAAAATAATTCTGTGAAAGCATTTGGCAAAGTAGCCAGTAATTCTAAAAAACCACTCCTCATTGTGGTGTAAAACTTAGAATGATTTCTGGTATTACATCTACTGCTATAATTCTTCTGAGATAATAAATACAGAGTTGTCAATGCAGATGTTTGCCAGGCAGGAACACTTACTGGCACCAGGATTTTAATTTTTCATTGGTTTTTCATATTAGAAGGATAAATTACTTTGTGTTATTTGAATACTGTGCATTTCTTATCCATTTCTTGTGCATTTCAAAGCATTCAGTCAGAATAAAATATTAAAAAATATTACAGTGGCCACCTAAATTTCTGTCAGGATTCAAATATTTGTAAGTTCCCAGGTAAGGTATTTGGATTGAGACATACAGTGCAATGCAATTCTCTCACTTTAGAGATGCATCTTACTCTGTGCTACAGGATGTGGTTATCTGACTATTTCTGCAAATTGCTCTAATTGGTTTGGCAGAGAAAGGAAGTTCCAGGGCAGCATTCTCAGGAGGCACCAGCTAAGGCTGGAGACTTTAAGGCATAAGTTGGTTACATGTAAATTCCAGTTTAGGAGTGGTGTTTTCAGTGGTTGCTGCTATTACAATCTAATTAGAAACAATAATTATCTGTTGTAACTGACATACTAACAGGCTTTAACTCTCCGTGGATGTATTAACAAATCTTGTTCATTCCAGTCTTTTTTTTATCTGCATACTCATCTTATTCTTTCCAAAAATAAGCAGCTAACTCAATCCTGATATCCAACTGCTTCAAATTTGTGTTTTAAAATAATGTGCCAGACTCTACATAAACAAAACCTTGAGTTTGTTTGTTTGAGAGGCAGGGCTGCCAGCAACAATTGTCATTCCTAGCAGGGCCCTTCCTCTGTTTTGTTTTTTTTTTTAAGCCCAGTCTTGTAGAATTGCTGTGCATTCTTTTGTAAATCTGTTCTAAAATGTTTTTAAATTACACTAGAATATTGTGGGGAATATCTCTCATATAAACAAAAACTGCAATTCCCATATGCCTCTAGCCTTGGTATTTTCTTTTGTGTGTGTGTATTTTCCCCTGGTGGGAGTAGAATGAGGTGCTGTTGACAAAGGGCTTTCCAATCTTCTTCCTCAGTGGTTGCACAACAGTAAGATTTTTTTTTTTTAATTCTTCCAGCCATGTTCCTATTGTTCTGCAACAGTATCTGTTACTGGTGTCTCT